ACTGAACGGCTAAAAATGAAGGCACCAAAGACAGACTCTGAGCACATCAATATCTAAAGGTCAGAAAGACGAAAAGAAATAAGCACTGGAGTTGAAAAGGAAGTGCTAAGGAGTAGGAGCTGAACCAGGGGGTGGTGTCCTGGAAGCCAAGGGAAGAAAGTGTTTCCAGAAGGAGGATCTGATCAACTGTGTCAAATGCTGCTCACAAGTAGGATGGAAACCACAGAGACCACTGTTTCTAATGGGTTATCAGTGACCACAATAAGAGCAGTTTCAGGATGGCAGGGGGAAGTGGGAGAAAACCAGACTAGAATGGACACAAGAGAGAAGAGAAGTAAAAGACAAGTATAAATAAATCTTAAGGAACAAAGAACAGGGTGAGAGCTGAAAGGGTATATAGAATGAAATTTTTATTTTTCAAGACAACAAATTAAAGCACATTTACCTGTTAACTTAAACAAGCTGTTGTTTTGGGTTTTTTTTTTTTAATGTAGGCTCCACCCAGAGTGGAGCCCAACTCAGGACCCTGAGATCAAGACCTGAGCTGAGATCAAGAGTCAGACGCTTAACCAACTGAGCCACCCATGTGCCCCTTTAAGCTTTTAAAAACGAAAAAAAAGGGGCGCCTGTGTGGCTCAGTCGTTAAGCGTCTGCCTTCGGCTCAGGTCAAGATCCCAGCGTCCTGGGATCGAGCCCCGCATCGGGCTCCCTGCTCGGCGGGAAGCCTGCTTCTCCCTCTCCCGCTCCCCCTGCTTGTGTTCCCTCTCTCGCTGTGTCTCTCTGTCAAATAAATAAAATCAAAAAAAAAAAAAAAAAAAAACCTGATGCAGAAGAGCAAAGGGAGAATTGCTGGAGCACTGCCTTCCAGCAGACCAGAGGGCATGGAAACAGCGCACAAGTAGAGGGGGTGGCCTAAGGATGGAGCACAGACAGGAAAAGGAAGACAGAGTCTATGGGAGATCATGAGCACAGATGTAGATGGCAGGTGGTGTGACATTCTCTTCCGATGGCCTCTACTTTCCCCGTGAGATAAGAAGCAGAGAGAGGCCAAGGGAAGAAATGTGGAAGGTCTGAGGAAAGAGAAATCTCAGTAGCGGCCCAGGAGGGTGGGAGGGTGAGGAGCCTATGGGAATGTGGGGATGACTGCCTGGCAGCATTAAGAGCCCATCTGAGGTTCACCACACACTTCAAGCGGGAATGGTCAGTATGGTTGTGTGGTTTTCTCCAGCCTCCTCCAGCCTGGGTGCAGGTTCTGAAAGCCGACTCTAACCACCACTGTATCTTCCCCACTCAAGCGACCTCCTCGGAGTGTTATTTCTGACCATCAACTCTAAGCTTGTCCTATGTCTCAGATACTTGCTATCACTTTGTCTTTGCTATCCTCACCTGAAAACATCCTCGGTTATGTAACTTACTCTCTCTCCCCACCCGAGCCCACCCACAAGCCCGCATCCCCTAGCACCATAAACCTGTCTGTATTGTTCACAGCCCTATCCCAGGGCCCAGAACAGTGAGTGCCTGGGCCACAGTAATCCCTCACTAACAAAAAATACCTACATCCTTGAGGAAAAGTGCACTCTAAACAGTAAAAAGCTTTTAAAATGACTAGAGATTATTGAATTAGTCTTACTCATCTCTGGTCGTAAACCTGCAAACTGTAATTAACTCTACGGGCACAGACGTGATGACCGAAGTGATCAGCAATCACCATTAGTGTCACTTCGGCAACGGACACTTGAGTGCAAGGCCCTGGCGGGGTCTCCTACTCCCACAGGATCGCGGTGCATCCCTCAGAGTCTCCGAACGGCTGGGGAAAGCCAGACCACCCGCCACTTCACACCGAGGGCGTCTCCGCAGCACGGCACCCGAGCCACCCAGCGCCCGCGTCGGCTGGCACTGCGCTCTGCACACCCCGCAGCTGTCCCTCCGACGGGCAGCCGGCCACGCTCCTCCGCAAGAGGCCTCGGGGCTGCCGGCCGCGCTCCCCGGACAGCCGCCCGCGGCCCTCCGCCCACGCCCCCCACCGACCCGGGCGCGGGCAGCGAGGGGGGCCGCGGGCACAACTGCCCCGGGCCGCCACAGTCGCGCCCCTCGGACCGGGCAGGCCCGGCGCCCAGCCACACCCACCCTCGCAGCGCGCCCTCAGCCCCTCACCTGCTGCAACATGACGGCCCTGCGCCAGCCCCACTTCCGGGAGCCACGTCAGCGTCAGCGTCGCAGCTGACGCAACCTGATCGCCACGGGAGGGGAGGAGCAAAGCACAAGCCCAGCCCGTTCCCACTTCCGCTTCCGGGTGCTTCGCCGGGGGGAGGGGGAGTAGCTGGAGGGGTGGAGCAAGCGTGTGGGCGGGACGAACTCCGGGCGGAGCGCGAGGAGGGCGGGCGTCTCGTGAGCGGAGCGAGCTTATGGGCGGAGTGTCCGGGGCGGGGCGAACTCGGGGACCGGGAGAGATCAGGGGCGGGGCGACAGCGGCGGGCGTCCCGGGAACCGGGCGAGCTGGGGGCGGAGCGCGAGGGCGGTGGGCGTCCGGGGCGGGGCGAGCGAGGAGGGCGAGGCGCGAGGGAGGTGGGCGTCCCGGGGGCGGGGCGAGCTGGGGGCGGGGCGCGAGGGCGGTGGGCGACCCCGGATCCGGGCGGGCAAGTGGACGGCCGGGGGGGCGGGGCGAGGGGCGGGGCGAGCGGGGGCGGGGCGAGCGCGTGCCTGGACTGGGTTCCCCTTAGGGGGCGGGGAAGCGCGGACTGTGCGGGGGTGGGGGCTGGTCCGAGCTGGAACGAAATACTCGCTCGCTGCTTACAACATCCCCGAGGCTCGGTCGACTTCAGGGTGAAAGCTTCGTGGTTTGCCACGTAGGGATGTTGTTGCCCGCATGGGTGTCCTGAGAGTAAGGGGCGTGGGGGACGGGCCTTATTTTAACACAGTTGCATTTTGTTTGAATGTTTTACAATATGTGTTCATGTATTATTATATGTGTACCTTAATCGTAGAAGCAACTGAAAAAGATAAACGTGCTCTTGCTAAGAGGTGGAAAGGCATTAAGAAGAAACAAGGCGGAGGACTCTAAACAATGGGGACTTTTATCGTGGGAGGATAACAGAGGCCAGGAGACAGTAAGGGATAGAGGTTGGGAACATGGGTTTGAGTCCCCGCTTCTCCAGGTACTAGTTATCCCGGTAATCTCTATGTACGTCTTTCCTCAGTTGTAAAGAGGGGATGATAATGGTATCCAAACAGGGTTAAATGTGCTTAGTAAATAGTAAATGTAATTCTTACTACTGTTTCAAGTTTAATCGCTGGAGATGTCGTGTTGCTCCATGAAGGACCTGAAATTCAGGGACTTTACATTATCTTTGAAACTGTGATTATAACAATGTGACTGTAACGATGTCCTATCTGCCTGGCCTACGTCAAACTGGCCTACATCAAAGGGCTGTTGGGAGACTCATGGAATAATGTGTTAGCACAGTTCCTTCATTGAGGGGATCCTTTCCATAGAAATTACAATTTTTACATGGCTATTTACTAGTGCTGCATTAATTTTTTTTTAAGATTTTATTTATTTATTTGAGAGAGAGAGAGTGAGCAGGAGGAAGAGGGAGAGAGAATTTGAAGCTGACCCCACACTGAGCACAGAGCCTACTTGGGCTCCATCCAGTGACCAGACTATAGATTGAAGGTTCCAATGACCCCCTTCTAGGATTTAATTAATTTGCCAGAGGGGCTCACAGAACTCAGGGAAACACTTACTTACATGTACCAGTTTATTAAAAGACAGAGATGAACAACCAGATAAACACACAGGGCCAGGTCTGGGAGGCTTCATGGAGTTGGGGTGCGTCACCCAGTACATGGATGTGTTCACCAACCTGGAAGCTCTCTGAACCCCATGCTATTGAGATTTTTATGGAGGTTTCATCACCGTAGGCACGATGGATCATTAACTCCACTTCCATTAACTCCCATTAACTCCATCTGGAGGATGGGGGGTGGGGTTAAATTCCCAAGCTTCTAATCCTACCTTGGTCCTTCTGGTGACCAGGCCCCAGGCAGGAGCCATCCAGAAGCCCACTCTGAGTCCCCTATTAAAACAAAAGATGGGATGCCTGGGTGGCTCAGTCGGTTAAGCGGCTGCCTTCAGCTCAGGTCATGATCCCAATGCCCTGGGATGGAGTCCCACATCTGGCTCCTTGCTCAGCAGGGAGCCTGCTTCTCCCTCTGCCTGCAGCCCCCCCTGCTTGTACTCTTGTTCACTCTCTCTTGCCCACGCTCTCTCTCTAACAAATAAATAAAATCTTTAAAAATAAATAAATACATAAAACAAAAGATAATCATAGTGGTCATATCAGCTAGAAATTTATAAGAGTTTCAGAAGCTCTGTGCCAGGAACTGGGGGCAGAGACCATTATATATTTTCTATTATCCCACACCATCCTGTGGTCATGCTGAACCACTGAGGAGAAGCTACCCGTTTGGATAGGGCTTGAGTTCTCCAATGGGCCATAGCTCCCATGTTGTGCTGCACTCTTTTCAATTACCTGCCTGGTCCCTGACACCATCCTTGGGAGGTCTAGGTGGAAACATCAACACACTTGATATTAGTGTTCCTCCTTGAAGAAAAGATGAATATGCTTAATTCTGTTCCATAGGAGTTAGCCCTGAGAAGGAAAAGAACACATAATGTTCTCAAATCCAATAGGTCAACCCCATTGAGGGCTTCTCCTTTTAGATTCTTAACTGAAGTCATTGAACTTCATCAGGCTTTGGTGCAAAAATACCAGGGAATTCCAATGCATTCTTCTGATACAATCCCATCAGTTCATTTGCTACCAGAATGATAGCACTAAATTGGTGGTGATGGGTGGTATTTAATTTCCAAAGATCACTTTCCCATCACCCACCAGTGAAGCTGGGCTTTCATGTTTCATTAAATGGTTTTCGGTGGGAATACAAATGCCAATCTCTCCCAGCAACACCCCCCCACCCCCACCTCTGTTTTCTTGATTCGATCATATCAATTCTTTGGCTTATAGGAAGATCAGTAAGACTCCCCACATGGCCAAGGGACAGCTCAAAACAAACAAACACGCAAAACAAAAGGCCAAACACCAACATCCACTTGGGTTCTCTGTTTATTGTAAGACGTTCATTTCCCAAGGCTGGTTCAGATAAACACGTTTTGCCCAAGTTCCGGGGCTGCTGTTTTTCCTTGCTTCATGAAATGATCTATAGGCAGGCCTTTGATCTTCCTGATCCAGGCAGCTCTGCTGGCTTTTTCTGGATTGACCACTTCACTGGGCTTCCTGGCCTGAAACTCCTTCATCTTGGCTTCCGCATACTCCTTCTCCTCCTTTACGGTCAACAACATGAACTTGGTGTTCATTCTAAAGGGATCAAGTGTTGTGTAGGAGCAAGGTCGTTCTTTCTTGACAGACTTGGTTCTCCTGTCCACGGGTGGAGCCAGCATGCGGTTCGGTTTAATTACCTGCAGGCTGGTTAACGGGCTGCAGGAGCGCACTGTCCCGTCGATGGAGCCGGTCGCTTGGCCTTCATCCTTGAGGGCGCCTGCGAATCTGGGGCGGATAATCGCAGGCTGGGGTATGGTGGACTGGACTCGGGGACTGTGCAAAGAGTTCTTCAGGTTGGGCTGCAGTTTCTGGATCTCCAAGGGAATACTGGTTTGCTTCACATCAATGGGAGGGTTACTCCACCTCAACCTATCAACTGCCTGTTGGATTGATTTTCCTTTGAAACTCAGGACCTTCCTTGGGTGTGAAATTGAAGGTCCCCAGGCATCAGTGACTTGGGTTTGGGGCCTCCGGGGATAGGCAAACTCCCCTGAATTATGGGCTTGCTGCAGGGCATTAACCGTCAGAAGGAACTGGTCGGCCGACATAGGGATTTGCCAACGCTTTTTCTTTGAGCGCTTGATCAAGTCTCCAGGTGGTACTTTCTCCTCGTCCTCTGATTTTTCAAAAAAAGAAAACAAAAGCAGGTCAGAGTGTTCCATGAAAACTGGTAAGTAGTTATGCATGAAACTTAAACCCATTCTAACGGCGATGCAAACTGAGGTCTTTGTGGTCCAACAGGCATGCCAAGATGTGCAAAAAAATCCTCTATGACACTAGAAATTATGACATATTCAACACAAGTTTTGAATAAATATATAGGTACTCGAGTATTGTGTGTGTGTATTAAACAAGTGTGTATTAAAGTGTGTATTAAAGGGGCACCTGGGTGGCTCAGTCGTTAGGCGTCTGTCTTCGGCTCAGGTCATGATCCCGGGGTCCTGGGATCGAGCCCCGTATTGGGCTCCCTGCTTGGTGGGAGGCCTGCTTCTCCCCCTCCCACTCCCCCTGCTGGTGTTCCCTCTCTCACTGTGTGTCTCTCTGTCAAATAAATAAATAAAATCTTTAAAAAAAAAAAATGCAAAAGCGCGCTAAGCATATAATTTTCCTTGACAAAATGGGTTTTATCCCAAGATGTTTGTGTATGGGCATTAAGATGGAATGAAGTTTCAGATATCTCCGTTTACTTTGTTAAATAAATAATATTTCATTAAATTATTAAATTATGAACTGTTGTTAAATCATTAAATTAAATATTATTTAATAGCTATAATATTAATGATTACATTACATATTATTACATTGCAATTAAATAGTAAGATATTATTTTTACTAAAGCATACAAAACTAAATTCAGATGTCAAAATCTTCCCCACTGTCCTTCTAATCCCAGAATAAACCACTCTGCCTGTGTATTAAAAAACACGCACAGTTTTCTTCCTTTGAAAAAAAAGAATTGTGTCAGGGCGCCTGGGTGGCTGATTCAGTTAAGCATCCAACTCTTGATTTCAGCTCAGTTCATGAGATCGAGCCCCACGTCAGCTCTGAGCTCAGTGCAGAGTCAGCTTGAGATTCTCTCCTTCCTCTGCCCCTCCCTACCCCATCCCCCCCCACTCATGCTCTCTGTCTCTAAAATAAATAAATAATTTTTTTAAAAAAAGGAATTGTGTCAAGAAAGTGGGTTAGAGAGAACATACCTCAACATAATAAAGGCCATATATGAAAAACCCACAGCTAACATCATACTCAATGGTCACACACACACACACACACACACACACACAGGAATATTATGTGGCCATAAAAAGGACGAAATCGTGCCATTTGAGACAACATAGGTAGACCTGGAGGGTATTATGCTAAGTGCAATAAGTCAGACCAAGAAAGACAAATACGTGATTTCACTCATAAGTGGAATCTTAAAAAAAAAAAAAAAAAAAAATGAATAAACAAAAAATAGAATCAGACCTATAAATACAGAGCACAAACTGATGGCTGCCAGAGGGGAGGAGGTGGGGGGGGTGAGTCAAATGGGTGAAGGGGAGTGGGAGATACAGGCTTCTGGCAATGAAATGAATAAATCATGGGAGTAAAAGGCACAGAATAAGGAATACAGTCAATGATATTATAATAGGGATGTATATCGGGACAGATGGTTAACTACACTTGTGAACACAGCATAATGTATAAACTTGTCAAATCATTATGTTGTACATCTGAAACTAACGTAACATTGTGTGTCAACTATACTCAAATTTTTTTAAAAAGGAATTGTGATGACTCATTTTGCATTAAGGTGTCTTTTTTTTGTAGAATAATATATTTTGAATCTCTTTCCAAATCACTATATGTGGGTCTGTCCTCATGATACAATTTTTAGCTATAAGATAATAATATTCCATAGTATGATTTTTTCCTTATCTACTTAGTCATTGCCCACTGGTGGACATTTTGTTTGTTAGTGACCAGCTTTAAAAAAATGTAAATACCATTTTTATTTATCATATAAGCAAGTTCAAAATGATGGATAACACCCATTTGGGCATGGGTATAGTGGGAGCTCTCATGCATTGTTGGTGGGACTGTAAATTGATATATCATTTTTTAAGGGTGACTATGGTAATATCTTTCTAAATTTTTCTTTATTTTTATTTGTTCATTTTTTAAGTAAACCCCCTCAAGGCGGGGCTTGAACTCATGACCCTGAGATCAAGATCTGAGCTGAGATCAAGAGTCAGATGCTTAACCAACTGAGCCACCCAGGTGTCCCTCTAATTTTTTTTTTAATCCAAAGAAAATTTATCAGTTATGCTAGTGTCCTCCTCTTTTTTTATTATTTAAAAAAATTCTAATTCCAGTATACTGAATATACAGTACTATATTAGCTTCAGGTGTACAATATAGCAATTCAACCGTTCTATACGTTACCCAGTGCTCATCATGACAAGTATACTCTTCATCCCCTTCACCTGTTTCGCCCATCCCCCACCTCCCCTCTGGTGACCATCAGTTTGTTCTCTATAGTTACGGATCTGTTTTTGGTCTTTTTTTCTTTGTTCATTTGCTTTGTTTCTTAAATTCCACATAGGAGTGAAATCATATGGCATTTGCCTTTCTCTGACTTACTTCACTTAGGATTATATTCTCTAGATCCATCCATATTGTTGCACATGGAAAGATTTCATTCCTTTTTATGGCTGAGTAGTATTCCAGTGTGTGTGTGCATGTGTGTGCATGCACAAACTCTTCTCTTTTTTTTCCAATTTAAAAAAAAATTTTATTTATTCGAGAGAGAGCGTGAGCGGGAAGGGCAGAGGGAGAGGGAGAGAGAATCTGAGGCAGACTCTGTGCTAAGCATGGAGCCCAATGCAGGGCTAGATCTCGCGACCCTGAGATCGAGACCTGAGCCAAAACCAAAAGTCAGTCACTTAACCAACTGAGTCACCCAAGTGCCCCTATACCACCTCTTCTTTATCCGTTCATCTATTGATGGACACTTGGGCTCCTTCCATAGTTTGGCTATTGTAAATAATGCTGCAATAAACAGGGGTGCAATATCTTTCTGATTTTCTTAAAGATCTATTTATTTATTTCAGAGAGAGAGCATGAGCAGGGGGAGAGGGAGGAAGAGAGAGAAGTGGATTGCCCGCTGAGTGCAGAGCCTGATGTGGGGCTTGATCTCATGACCCTGAGATCATGACCTGAGCTGAAATCAAGAGTCAGACACTTAACCAGCTGAGCCATCCAGGCTCCCCAATATCCTTCCAATTTTTAAAGGCAGTTATCCTTTGGCTCAGCAATGCCACTCCTAAGACTTTACCCTAAGGTATACTTATAAAGGTACCTAATCATAGGCATATTCAAGGATGCTCATTGTTAGTATAGCCCTCCTGAAACTTAACTGTTTTACCCTCACCTTGAAGCTGGTCTCTACAGGGAGTTTGATTCAAAGAACCACTATTATATTAGCCAAAAATATTTGAAAGGCATTTTAAATCTTTACCAAAATCTCCCTCAAAAACAACAACGGGACATCCTCTTCATGATGACACACCAGTCCAAGAAGTGCGAAGTCTGAGTGGCAGACATGGGAGGCAGGCTGTGAGCCCAAAACTGGAAACACAGCTCTTACAAAGGTTGTTCGTGCTGTGGCCTCAAGTTAGTAAGGGGACAATTAAGGAAAACCAATCACCCTTAAGAAAAGTCAGACATGTTATCCTTTCTGAATTCTCAAAGATGAGCAGTCATTGACTTGCTGAAAAACTAGATGGAACACAGTGAGCGAGCAACAGAGAGAGGGGGGAGAAGAGAGAGAGAGGATCTTGCCCCTGATCTGGAATAAAATATCACCGTTTGTTGTATCTCCTGCGAGGGATTTTGCTTCCAAACTCTGTTGCCCACCATCTATGCTGCTTGCTTCCTTAAAAACAGGACTTGCTCTCTTCTTGCCATCTCTTCGGGGTGCTTTTGACTTTCCTTGACTTGGAGGTCCCTCGAATAACACTTCTAAATGAAGATTGAGAAGGAAATCTTAGTAATGACATAATTCAACAAGGTCTAAATAATGGGGGCATAGCTGGGAATCTGGCTTATTTGCACCCAAACTATCACCTTTCTGTTTGTTGTCGTATGACACCAGGTAAGCGATCTGGAGCCTAAGGTCTACACCACCTCCTGCCTTTCCTCTCACCCACTTTTTCAACTGACTGTCAAGCTTTAGGCATTATCCACACCCGTTGGTCTCTCTCCTCCAGAGAGAACTGATCATTTATCTACACCTGTTGGTCTCTCTGATCATTTGTCCATGTAACATACCTGGATGTGACCTCTTGATGTTCTCCATAGACCTGTGGATCCAGTTTCACATGCCAAACATGGGAGAAGCGAAAGGAAGGAGTCTGGCTACTCCAGCCCACGCCTAACTTATTCTTTGTGTGTCTTAAAATGGCATTCCATATGCCACACACCCACACCCACATTTCTGCTTCATACTAATATTTTCTGGGTATGCATGTTATCAATCAGCACTTAGAGATAATACCTTCTGCCTAGAACATTTTTCTGTGGAATAGTAATATCCTGTCTCTGTTCTAAGGAAATAATTATGTACTATATGTTTGGATGGGGATGGAGAGTGTTGGTGGGTTTTGGTTTGAATGGCAAGTGGTAAAGGCCAGTGTTATCTACTGTACAAAGATTCTAGTATGTTCGGTAAACGCAGGCCTTGAAAATCAGGAGATTCTCTTGAGCTGGAGAATGGTATCCCACCTTCCTTAATGGTTAGGATTTACATCATCAAGAAATCATTGGCTAAAATATCCTACAAAGAAAGTAGTCCTGCCACCACCACCACCACCTGCACCCATTCCTGCTCCATCAGGAACCACCGAGGTGGCCTGGGATTCAGCTCTCTTACCTGTAGGTACCCTGGCAGCCCTCAGGAAAACTCGGGACCTGTATGGTTTACTCAACAGGGACTCCTGGGCCACAGTTTGTTTACTGGACATCGAGTCCCTCAGGCTGAAAGCCTGAATGCTAGACCTGGAGGGGATTTCGGTGAGGCCATTTTCTTCCCTGTCCTCCTCTTTATCCTTCTTCTTTTGTTTGGCCTGGTCCAGGGAGTACTGCCACTTTATATTCTCAAACTGGAACATGAGAATATTGCTCTCCGTGTTGATCACCATCCTGGAACCAAAACAACAAGATGGCCCACAAAAGGCAAGAAGGCCACTGCGGCCCGGCCTCCAAATATGCATGTCAAATACTGTCCCATCCAACCATAAGCCTGAGGGAACAGTGCCCGGGACACGACTGTACAAAGAGGGTGTTGGAGGTTGTTGGAGGGTCTGGAGCGCTGAATGGTCACAGGCAGGCAACAGGGAGGGGTTCTCTTGAAAATTAACTGTAAGCAGGGCACGTACATTCTGATTCCCTCACCTTTCAAGGTAAAATATTTTTAAATGAATTTCTGTTCATAGAGTTGAGTGTCACGTCCCTAGGGTGCCCAAAGCAGAAAGGTTAGGTACTCTGCACACTGATGTCTTGAAATTCACTTTTTTTTTTTTTTTTTCAAAGCACGGTATCCAAATGCCATGTTTTATTGCTGTCCTGGGGATAAGGAGAACTCTGTAATGGGGAGGACTCTGCTCCCTCACTGACTCTCCAGCCCACCCTCCATCCCTCTATCCTTCCAGGATCTCTGTGCATGCTCTGCATTTAAACAAAACAGCTGTACTTTATAAAGCGGGATGATTTCCATCCTTCCTAACCCACACTTTAGGCCTTGGTAGAAAGAGTTCCAAACCTGGGCCCCCCAACAGGGAACCCCAACCACTCACTGGTTTCTGTCATTCACAACGTCCACAGAGCACGTTATCCACCCTAATCTGTGCCTAGATCTCCCAGAACCATAAACGAGCCATGGAAATACCATGTGAAGGTTCCTTTCTGCTCCAAAAGGCTGAATTTTAAGGCCTTAACTGTTAGCGTAAATCCTCGTAAGAGTGACTGGTTTTGGTTAGAAATGCTAGAATGGAATTGGGGGATCATTCCAATCAGGAATCCCTTTCAGACTCATTTTTACTCAGGCCCAAAGGAAACTGTCTCTCTTTGGATGTCATAAAAAAGAAAAGGTCAGAGGTGATTTTTTTTTTTAATGGCATTAGTACTTTGAAAGTGAAAAGGCGTCCCTTTGTTGAGACTTCTTAACCAGTCCTGCCCCTTTAAGATGGGAAATAGCCCTAGTATAGTTCCATTAAAAGGAAGACAATATGGTTGGGGAAGATTCACTGATATCTCAAGTGAGCCTGTGCAAACGTTAATTCTCTTTGGGTATTTTCACATCATAACGCCCTGAACCTAGCCTATGACAAATACAATACTACATACAAATGGTCTCGGTTCTGGTTTCTGTAAACTCACCTGGCTCAGCTCTGCCCCACCAGACCCTGGACCCCCGGCTACTACCATCCCACTCCCCTCCTGTAAGTCTCCTTGTGTCAGAAGTGAGCATCAGGGAGCAAACAGGGGCTGCACATTTAGAGCAGAGCCATACTGTACTCTCTGCCTGATTTGCCCAGACATCCAGAACAAATTCAGAGTGACGTGAGCCCTGCTTGCTAAGTTTTGTGCAAAGTCCGATCCGCCCCCCCGCCCCCGCCATATGATTATTGACGCTTCTACAGCCAAAATTGGAGGGGACCACTGCCCCCTCTCTCCTGCTGCCAGCAAATGCAGGGCTGGTATCCCAGAGGAGAAGAAAACCAGCCAAACCGAAGAGCCCACGGCCCTGACCTCCACACCTACCACCCACCTGTTGCCCTGAGTAAAGAAGGACAGCACAGGATCACCTCTGCCGTTGGCTTTCATCACCTTCAGACAGTTCCCATTGAGGAAATTGTAAATGCGGATCTTGCCATCTGCACAGGCACTGATGACCCGGAGGAAGACAAGAGCCACATGGAGCACCTCCCTGGAAGGGAACAGAGCAAGAGGCAGGACGTGTCTTCTGGGAAGCTGCTTGGATTTGTTTGTAGCTCGGGGGGATTAGGGGTGCGTGCTTGGGAGGCATTGGTCATGACTGCCCTTCCTGAGATGTTTGCCATCATTTCATAATTCTGGACAGAAGCCATTAACCCTCAAGACATGGTTGCGCCCTCTCCTCCCATTCTGCTGTTATGTTTCCTGCAAACTGGTCACAGTGCCACATGATGGCAACAGGCAAAGGCTTCCGTTGTGGCTTTTTGTTTTGTTTTGCTTTGGTCTGATACATAGACGATTGTGCTTTTCTCTTACAATTTGGCTCCTACCTACGGACTTCTACAAAAGCCATGCAGAGAAGTACTTAATGTTGTGATTCCTTTTCAAATAGCATTATTAGATAAAGAAAGAACAGAACAGATGGGAAAATGATCATCTTTATATGAAGCAAGAACCTGACATTTCAGCAGTTTCTTCTGGGTCTTAAACTAGTGGCTTTCATTCTTTCAGTGAAACTTTCTGAAGGAAAATTGTACCCAGGGATGGGATGTAGGACTTCCCTTTTGTGGTGACCAGCAGAAACAGAGAGAGGACCAGGAGACTTAGATGCCTCCAACAAAACCTTCCTGCAATGGCTGTGGCCAAGTGGGACTCCAGGTGTGTGGAGTATTCAATTCTACAAAATGTAATTCCCCCATTCCTATTAATGATACTAAAAAGTTGAATCTGGTGCCACCAATTAGTTAGATCATATGTGCAAAGCAAGTCCTTCGATCCCTGCCATCTGTACCTATCCAAGTCCATTCATGGCCTCGTTCATATGCTACCTTCTCTATAAAACCACCTTTTATCTCCATCTCCCCTTTCCCACGCACATATACACAAACTTCAGGTACACTGTGAGATTCTCTTGGGCAGAACACACGTCTTACTCATCTTTGCATGCCCAGCACCTAACACAGGCCTAGCCCATAGAAGGTCCTCAATAAATATCTGTTGAAATGGCGAGTGTCAGCTCAAGTTTCAGAACATGATCACTGATACAGTGGGTTAAAAGAATGACATCCACCCCATAACATGTGGCCTTAGCCCTGATCAGATCCAAGAACCAGATTAAGATGTTTCAAAGCCCCAACCACTAGCAAAATAGAAACAACAAAGACTTTGAAAGGCAAGAACATACTTAGCATGTTCAAAGGACAACAAAAAGGCCAATGTGGCTCGTGTGATGGATAAATCAATCAATCAACTGATCACTCATTCTGAAGTGTAAAATAAATATAAGAAAGTCCAACAAAGTTCTAGTTTTATTTCAAAGATGGAAATATAATACATTTATTGCTGCCTTAAGTGCATCTTAGTCTACCTGTAGGGGAATCCAGAGCTAGGAGAGATGCCCTGTGATAGAAGGGTTTGCGTCTCTACTGGGTATTTACCCCAAAGATACAAAAGTAGGGATCCGAAAGGGTACGTGCACCCCAATGTTTATAGCAGCAATGTCCACAATAGCCAAAATGTGGAAAGAGCCAAGATGTCCATCGACAGATGAATGGATAAAGAAGATGTGGTATATATATACAATGGAATATTATGCAGCCATCAAAAGGAATGAGATCTTGCCATTTGCAATGACGTGGATGGAACTGGAGGGTATTATGCTGAGCAAAATAAGTCAAACAGAGAAAGACATGTATCATATGACCTCACTGATATGAGGAATTCTTAATCTCAGGAAACAAACTGAGGGTTGCTGGAGTGGGGGGTGGGGTGGGAGGGAGGGGGTGACTGGGTGATAGACACTGGGGAGGGTATGTGCTCTGGTAAGCGCTGTGAATTGTGCAAGACTGTTGAATCTCAGATCTGTACCTCTGAAACAAATAATGCAATATATGTTAAGAAAAAAAGAAGAAGAAGAAGAAGAAGGTAGCAGGAGGGGAAAAATGAAGGGGGGGAAATCGGAGGGTAGACGAACCATGAGAGACTGTGGACTCTGAAAAACAAACTGAGGGTTCTAGAGGGGAGGGGGGTGGGAGGATGGGTTAGCCTGGTGGTGGATATTGAGGAGGGCACATTCTGCATGGAGCACTGGGTGTTATGCACAAACAATGATCATGGAACACTACATCTAAAACTAATGATGTATGGGGATTAACATAAGAATAAAAAAATTAAAATATATATATATACATAAAAAAAAAGAAGGGTTTGCGTCTTTCTGTACCTCTTTTGATCTTACAGAGCTGGACCTGCACTTCTCATAGGTTCCTGTGGCATTTGATAGTTCAGCCTACACCATTACAGGCTAGTGATTGAAAGCACAGGCTTGGGGCGCCTGGGTGGCTCAGTCGGTTAAGCGTCTGCCTTCGGCTCAGGTCATGGTCCCAGGGTCCTGGGATCGAGCCCCGCATCGGGCTCCCTGCTCCCCAGGAAGCCTGCTTCTCCCTCTCCCACTCCCCTTGCTTGTGTTCCCTCTCTCACTGTGTCTCTCTCTCAAATAAAGAAATAAAATCTTTAAAAAAAAAAAAAAAAGAAAGCTCAGGCTTTAGGATCAGAAAACCTGGGATCCAAACTTGGTTCTACCACTTACTGACTGTGTAACCTTGAGAAAGTAACATGAACTCTCAGTCTTTAGTTTTCTCTTCTATGAAAAGGGGATAGTGATTTCTGCCTCAGAGATTAAATTAATGGAGGTACTTTTCAAACAGCCCAGTACCTAATACAATAATGGTTATTATGATCCTGTCATAATGCGGTCTGCATTCAGGTTTTATCTCTGCCCTAAAAAAAAAGTCATTTCTTTCTTTTTTTTTTTTTAAGATTTCTTTTTTTTTTTTAAGATTTTATTTATTTATTTGAGAGAGAGAATGAGAGGGAGAGAGCATGAGAGGGGGGAGGGTCAGAGGGAGAAGCAGACTCCCCGCCGAGCAGGGAGCCCGATGTGGGACTCGATCCTGGGACTCCAGGATCATGACCTGAGCTGAAGGCAGTCGCTTAACCAACTGAGCCACCCAGGCGCCCCAAAAGTCATTTCTTTCTTACGTCTCCTTCTTTGTTCCTTCTTTATCAAAAGACACTGCAGAGAGTGTTATCAGGGAGAATGGTGGAAGAAGGAACTCCAAAATCCCACCCTTCCATAAAAGCAATGAAAAAACTGACAAAAACCATTGCAATTTTTTCAGAACTCTGGAAAACAACCAAAGGCTTGCAGGAACCCAAGGAGCACTCAGACAAAAAAGAATGGCTTTGTCTCAATAAGAAGAATGAACTTAATGACATATCAACTTACCTGAGTCCCATTCCCAACTCCCCAGCTCATTGGTAACCATGAAAATAACAGCCCACATTCCTGGTACTGGAGGAAACAGAACAAACCTCTTTCACAATGAATTATTTGACCTCTCTCATGGCTTCCTGGAAAACTGGCTCAAAAACTTGTCTTTATTTTGCTTTAGTAGGAACTCACCCAATGCTAAAGCGGCTACCTGGGGGGTATTCGTAGAACACCTTCATAGGCAAATCTTGTAGTCACTGCTGCCTGAGGCAATAGATATCAGTTGGAGCAAACAATACACTAACCAAAAAGCTTTAAAGTTAAAGCTGGGGAATAAAATGTCCATAAGGACTTTGAAAAGCTCAGATGTATTCCTGGGACTCTATGTGGCCATATACAGGGTTATGCACACACTGGTGAAGGACCTGAAAAAGCCCTAAACTCTCACTCTTAGCTGACCTTGATGTTCTCCACAAACAAAAGTGAGAGCTAAGGCAGAGTTGTAAACTGTCTAGCTGAGTGTTGAAAGTTTCCCTCAATAGGCACACAGAGCCCCTTGGCAAAGAATGGGAGATATTTTACTTCCAGGTGTTCAAACCTTATTCCAGTCAGTGCACCACCAAGGTAGAAGAACAGAGACTTCAGCAGCCAAACAAGACAACTATACAGACTCACTAAACAAACACACAATAAAAACCACAACAAGCAACAATGAAAACAAACCCTGGGAATGGGGAAGAATTTGATTTCCAGAGATGTCATATTAAAATATCCAAAATGCCCAGTTTTCAAATAGATATATAAAACATAAAAAGATACTAAAGAGTATATATACAGGGAAAAAAGCAACTGTCTGCCAGGAAACTCAATGGTTGGACTTTCTAGACAAAGACTTTAAATCTGTTCTAAACATGTTCAAATAGCAAATACAAACCATGTCTACAAAGCAAAAAGAAAGCATAAGAACAGTGTCTCACCAAATAGAGATTACCAATAAAGAGTTAGAAATTATTAAAAAATAAAAAGTTCAAATAGAAATTCTGGAGTTGAAAACTACAGGAACTGAGATGAAAACTCACTAGAGGGGCTCAACAGCACATTCATAGAGGCAAAAGAAGCAAAAGACTTAAAGAGAGGTCAATTTAGATTTTCCAGTCTAAGAACAGAAAGAAAAAAGAATGAAGACAAATGAACAGAACCTCAGAAGCCTGTGTGACATCATTAAACCTCAACACATGCCTAATAGGAGTCCCAGAAAGAAAGGAGGGAAAGAGGCAGAAATATTTGAAGAAATAATCGCCGAAAGCTTTCCAAATATGATGAAAATCATTAATCTACACATCCAAGAAGCTCAACAAACTCACTGTGGTAAACTGAAGAGATCCACACCTAGACATTTCGTAATCAAACTGTAAAAGGCCAAAGGTCAAGACAGTATTGAAAGCATCAAGAGAGGGCGCCTGGGTGGCTCAGTTGGTTAAGCGACTGCCTTCGGCTCAGGTCGTGATCCTGGAGTCCCGGGATCGAGTCCCGGGATCGAGTCCCGCATCGGGCTCCCTGCTCAGTGGGGGGTCTGCTTCTCCCTCTGACCCTCTTCCCTCTCGTGCTCTCTGTCTCTCATTCTCTCTCTCTCAAATAAATAAATAAAATCTTTAAAAAAAAAAAAAAAGAAAGCATCAAGAGAGAACCAGCTCATCACATAAAAAGGATCCTCAATAATATCAACAACTGATTTCTCATTGGAAACCATCAGAAACTATGGAGGCCAAAGGCAATGAAATGACATATTCAAAGTGCTGAAAGGAAAAAATAACTGTAAACCAAGAATTCTATATCCATCAAAACTATCCTCAAAAATGGAGAAATTAAGATATTCCCAAATAAACAAAAAAATGAGAGTTCACACTAGCAAGAAATGCTATACAGGCTCCTTCAGGTTGGAATGAAAGGACACTAGTGGTAACCGAAATCCACATGAAGAAATAAAGAGCATCAATAGAGGTAACTACCTAGATAAATATAAAAGACAGTATAAATGTGATTTTTGTTTATAGGTCTTTTTTTCTATCTCGTTTAAAAGGCAACTACATAAGCCAATAATTATATGTATGATGATGTATACACAGGATATAAAGATTTGGTTTGTGACAACAGGGTATAAAGGAGGGAGAAGGAACTCTATAAGAGCCAATTTTTTTATACTATTGAAATTAAATTGATATTAATATGAACTATAAATTAAGATGTTAACAGTAATCCCCAAGGCAAGCATTAAGAAAATAACTCAAAAATATAGTAAAAAAAATGACAAGGGAATTAAAATGGCACACCAGAAAATATCCATTAAACACAAAAGAAGGCCATAATAGAAGAACTGAGGAACAAAAAAATTACCTAAGACTATAGAAAATAGAAAAATGGTAAAGTAAGTCCTTTTTACCTTAAATATAAATGGATTAAAATCATCAATTAAAAGGTATAAATTGGAAGAAAGGATAGAAACAACATAATCTAACTTTATGCTGTCTATAAGGGACTCATTTTATTTCTTTTTTAAAGATGTTATTTATTTATTTATTTATTTATTTATTTATTTATTTATTTATTTGACAGACAGAGACACAGCGAGAGAAGGAACACAAGCAGGGGGAGAGGGAGAAGCAGGCTTCCTGCAGAGCAGGGAGCCCAATGCAGGGCTCAATCCCAGGACCCTGGGATCATGACCTGAGCCGAAGCCAGACGCCCAACGACTGAGCCACCCAGGTGCCCCAAGAGACTCACTTTAGATTCAAAACTACAAATAGGTTGAAAGCAAAAGAATGGGGAAAATACCAAAACAAAGCACAAAGTAGAGACAAAATTTAGACAAAATTTTAGACACACTTGTTAGTAGAGACCAAAAAAATTATATGATGATAAAAGGGCCACTTCATCAAAAAGATATAACAATTATAAACATGTATACACCTGACAACAGAGCCCCTAAATACCTGAGGCAAAACTCACAGAATTAAAGGGAGAAACAGACAACTCAATAATCAGAGATGGAGACTTTAATACCCCACTTTATTTTTTAAAGATTTTTATTTATTTATTTATTTATTTGACAGACAGAGAAACAGCGAGAGAGGGAACACAAGCAAGAGGAGTGGGAGAGGGAGAAGCAGGCTTCCCACTGAGCAGGGAGCCCAATGCAGGGTCATGACCTGAGCCGAAGGCAGATGCTTAACGACTGAGCCACCCAGGTGCCCCAATACCACACTTTAAATGATAGAACAACTAGACAGAAGATCAGCAAGGAAAACAAAAGACACGAACTAACATCATAAACTAACTAGATCTAACAGGCATGTATAGAACATTTCTCCCAAATAACAGCAGAATACACATCAATCTGAAGAGCACATGAAACAGTCTCCAGGACAGGCTTCAAGTTAGGCCAGAAAGCAAGTCTCAATAAATTTTGAAAGACTGCAATCATACAAAGTATGCTCTCCAACCTCAATGGAATTAAATTAGAAATGAATAACAGAAGGAAATTTGGAAAAATCATAAATACGTAGAAATTAAACATGCTCTTAAATAACCACTTAGTCAAAGAATAATTCTGAAAGAAAATTAGAAAATACTTTCAGATGAATAAAAATAAAAATACAACATATCACAGCTTTAAGGGTGCAGCTAAAGCAGGACTCAGAGGAAAATTTATAGTAGTAGATGCTTACATTTCTCCAACCAGTAACCTAGCCTTTCACCTTAAGAAACTAGAAAAAGAATGTCAAACTAAATTCAAACCAAGGAGAAGAAAGGAAAATAAAGCTTGGAGCAGAAATCCATGAAATAGGGGCGCCTGGGTGGCTCAGTTGGTTAAGCGACTGCCTTCGGCTCAGGTCATGATCCTGGAGTCCCGGGATCGAGTCCCGCATCGGGCTCCCTGCTTGGCAGGGAGTCTGCTTCTCCCTCTGACCCTCCCCCCCTCATGTGCTCTCTCTCTCATTCTCTCTGTCAAATAAATAAATAAAATCTTAAAAAAAAAAACAAAAAAAAAAAAAACAAAAAAAAAGAAATCCATGAAATAGAGAATTCAGAAACTATAGAGAAAAGTCAATGAAAACAAAAATTGGTTCTTTGAAAAAATCAGCAAACCCTTAGCTAAACAACTGACAAATATTTACTTAGTCTAAATAAGAAAATAAGAGAGAAAACAGAAATTACTGAAATCAGAAATGAAACAGAGGATATTACTATTGATTGACAGAAATGTTCTGTAATTAGATAGTGGTGATGTTTGCACAACATTATGAATATAACTGAAACCATTGAATTGCACACTATAAAATGGTGAATTTTATATCATATGAATTTTTAAAATATTATCTTAATATTATCTTAATACTACTGGTGGAAAAGTCACTAAAGGCTAAAATTTAAAAAAAAAACTACAGAGTACAGAAACTTTTTCAAGGATCATCATTCTTTTCAGCCCTATTTTGTATCCTATAAGTTTATCCATCATATTCTCTCCCACACTATATGAAGAATCTTAATTTGGGGTAAAAAATTTTCAGATCAAGAGGACAGAAGGAAGACCCCTTTCTTCAGTCCTTCTTCCACCGAAGGACAGACAGCCATGATACCTGTTTTTTCACATACAACATATTCAAAAGATGGGTAGCTGCCCCATCATTAGAACTCTCCAGAAAGGCAATCTGCAAGTTGGTCCTCATTACCAATCAAGTAGAAATATTTATTGAGCACTTCCATGTGCACACCACTACTACAGATGAGTAGAGGAGGGGCCTACAAACAAGAACATCGACATGTCCTCCACATGTCTATGGATTTGCTGTAACTGTGAAGGGATCAAGAACCAATGTGAATGAGATGGTGGGGCCATCAGTCAGTAGCAATGAGAATGGTCTGAGAAGGTCTCATTGCTGAGATGGAGAAGGAGGCTCCTGGGTTGACAGAATGGCAACCAAACTGCTAGGTTTGCTGGGAACAGATTATTGTCCAATATCTAAACTAAGTCCTACAGAATCATGCTTAGAAGGCTACAATTTTCAGGTGATATCATAAAGTTTCACTTTTTTGAGTTTGAGAATCCAGATGACATGCTAAGAAGCTTACTGATAATCACATAAGGGTTGGATAAAGCACCAAACAGAAGCCTTGCCCAGCACCAATAATAATGCAGTCACACACCACAATGAATAAACATACACATATGTAACCCAAATCCTCTTCTACCTCCCACAAAGTCAGTGTGTGCTCAAGAGGTTCCTATGAAGATATGAGGAAATCTGGGCCATATTTTACTAAATAACTATCCCCAAAAGACCCCTTAGAAGATCCATTTACTCTTTTAATCAATTAGGATAGCATTTTGTTTTCCTAGAGTTTTTTATAGCGCTCTTAGGGGAAGAAGCATTATTCACGTAGTACAAGAGTGACCCAGAGCAGCCTATAAAACCCATGGCCATGGAAAAACCATTAACTGGCCACAATATCCCTTCCAAGTAAGCTCAGATGTGACCTCAGGCTACTTCTCAATTGGCTCTCAAGCATCACCACCCCTAAATCAGGATTGGAATTATAAAATGAGATCCATTTGCTGTCCTGGAAGAGAATGTAGCCAGCAGACTTGTAAGAAAGCCCCTTCTTTAAGCCCTTAAGTTATTTTTAAACTTTTGGCACTTGATGATTTTAAGCTTTTGTGAACACAAGCCTCCTGGCGTAAAGACCAACTCCAAGTATTTTAAGTTTACTGGACCTGGCATTACTTGGGACAGTTCTGCCAATATTCCTAAGGTTGGTAGACAACAGATATAAATGTATCAGGTGTGTCATAAGCATAACATTTCAATAACTTCTCAAAATCCACATCATGGACTGTTATTTCTTTTTTTTTTTTTTAAGATTTTATTTATTTGACAGAGAGAGACACAGTGAGAGAGGGAACACAAGCAGGGGAAGTGAGAGAGGGAGAAGCAGGCTTCCTGCCAAGCAGGGAGCCCGATGCGGGGCTCGATCCCAGGACTCTGAGATCATGACCTGAGCCAAAGGTAGACGCTTAACGACTGAGCCACCCAGGCACCCCATGGACTGTTATTTCTTAAGAGAAATAAGTGACATTGGGAGAGGGAATGGCCAAATGGGGTGGGGTTGGGGAACATGTAGAGGGGACAAAAGGTCAGAAGAGCGGAAGGGACTGATCTGCCAAAAACCAAAGGCTAGGCAATGAGGGAAAAGAAGAGAGCGCTACATTCATCAATCAGGGCTTTCCTGCACCTACTTTGGATGCTTGTAGGCCATGAGGCACCTCTCATACTTTCCCACCATGCTCCAGGCCATGACCAGGCCATCAGTACTTCCTGAGAGGAGATGCCACTGGTCAAAGCACAGACACTTCACGGCTCCCTCGTGGCCACTGAGAGTCTGCAAGAGAAAATGGCTCTGTTTTTACCCCATCTTCAAGACAGATTGTGAGTCCTCCAAGGACTCCGAAGCTGGAGGCTTCTTTAGATGAACTGCAAAGCCGCACTCCGCCAACCCATGACACCACTAACTTGGTATTTACCTGAGCCGACTTTACTTTTGTTCTAAGAAGGCCAGTGGTGTTCATGCCACCCTCTCTCCAGAGCTCTCTCCCTCTCTCTCCCCAGTGAAGGAAGAATGTGGTCAGGGGGAGGACTTGCTCCTGGTGGGTCTGTGGCTGGGGCACGCCTCATCTTCCTGGAGTACAGGGAGGGCCAGAATTCACCATCCTCTGCTGCCACAAGGCGTAGGGGCAGGCATTCCATCCCCAGCTCCTTGCCAAGACCAGAGGACACCTGGGCCATCACTGTACCTTTAACTGCTGGTCAGACCATGGTGACTAGATTGATGGGAAACAATCCACCAGCCAGGCCAGCAGCTTCTCACTTTGTCCCCATGCTCCCGGCACAAATGTATCTCACCACTGCCCACTAGGGCCAGGGGATTTCAAATCCAGCAACATTTTTTCATGTGAACATTCAATCACTTTCAAGACAGAGGATGTTCTGTTTTTATCAGAGAGTTAAGTAGAAAAACCACTGTGACTTTTTCCATTCCCTTACCCCAGGCAAGAGTCAGGGTAAAATATTCTGGAAAAGGAAAAGTCACTTTACTTCTGCAGCTGTTAAAAGACCCTGAGCCCATATATCATGCTGAGTCAGAATGTAGCCTTCTACCACCACCTCCTTGACAATGTGGGTCACATGATCCCTGACCCTCCACTGACTCTGAATGGCCCTTTTTTGGGGGAAGCGAGGAGGGGCTTCCCCATCAGCTCTTCAGGACCATCCTTTTGGTGACCAGAGGTTGGTAGCTTTAGGGTGGTCTGGGGAGCTCCACGGGGGAGACCGTAAGTCCATCACCACCAGGGCCCCGTTCCCCCAACAGCCCACCACCCTCTCACCTTTACCAACTGGGCCATGACAATGTGCCACACTTTGACTAACCCCCGCTCACAGCTGCTCACGATGTAGGTGTCATTGATCCTGGTGGCCAAGATGGGGTCTTTGTGTTTAAATGTCTTCAGACACTTCCCTGTCTCTATATCCCACTCTGAAAGGGAGGGGGGAAGAGAAGAGGCGTGAAGGCAAGTTACGGTGGAGTTCTATACTCCATCACAGAAGCCAAGCCCATCAAGTCAGACCCTAGAAGGCCGTCACTGGCCCAGCACCCCTGGAGGCTTGCCAACAGCTCTGAGCTCCTGACCATGGGCCCCCGGGAGAGCCACCAACCATAGACCTTGGCTCTAACCCTAGAACTTAGTGTTGGGGTCCAAGTGCTAGCCAGCTCATCTCTAATAAGCTTCCTTCTTGAGCCTGCAAAATACTTGCTCTTGAGTGGATTTCAAGAAAATCATGGCATGTGTTCCATGGCCTCATTCTTTCCAGACACTATTCTCCTGACTCACCTCTTCTATCTCCAAAAGAAACGAAAGCTGTCTATCCTTATTTACATTTTAAAATATCTCTGAATCTGACTTTTGGATTTTACTAACTGACAGATTGCCAGAGCTGGGGGCAGGCTTAATGCTGCTTCCACATAGATGATGCTGGGGCAACTGCCTAGCACACTGTAAGGGTTGGGAAGATATGAACGTAGGTGGATAGGTGGGAGCACAGAGCTTAAAGGAGAAAACTGAAAGGAGGCACCACAAATTCGGGGATGAGACCATTAAAGTCAGCCTCGTCGGCCCCAAAGTACCTCTCAGGCAACAGAATGTATAACCTAAGACAAAATAATAACCACACCTGATACTTACATATAGCACGCACAATGAGCCGGACACCATCGAGAGTGCTTGACATATATTAACTCGTCTTCACAAGACAGTTGCTATCATTATTCCCCACTTACAGATGAGGAAACAGGGATAGAGAAGTCCAGTAACCTGCTCAAGATCACGCAGATGGTAAGCAGATTGAGCCGGGATTCGAACCCAGGGAGTCTGGATCCAGAAGCCATGCTCTTAACCACATACAGTAGATTAACCCTAACTATGTAAGTATGCTTTTCTTCGTGTATTTTTTATACATACATTGGCCCTTTAATCTGATTAGAAAGGAGGAAGCTGAGGGGCACCTGGCTGGCTCAGTAGGTAGAGCGTCTGACTTCCGCTCAAGCAGTGGTCTCAGGGTCCTGGGATCGAGCCCCATGTTGGGCTCCCTGCTCAATGGAGAGTCTGCTTGTCCCTCTTTGTCTGCCTCTCCCCCTGCTTGTGTTCTCTCTGTCTCTCTCTCAAATAAATGAATAAAATCTTCAAAAAAAAAAATTTAACAAGTTGGGGGTTACATTTCAGGTCTCTTAACTGTCTCTTCTTCCTTCTATTGGTAATCGAGGCAGGTGGGAGGCGCCCAGGGGAAGCAGGCAGGCTGGGGGCTGGGGCTAGGTTTTGGGTAAAGAGAGAGATCTTTTGAAATTTTTTTCGTTGTGTATTTTGTGAATTAATTTTGACCTTTTAAATATTGCTTTAAAATGTGTATCTTGAGAGGCGCCCAGGTGGCTCAGTCAGTTAAGCGTCTGCCTTCAGCTCAGGTCATGATCCCATGGTCCTGGGATGGAGCCCCCCCATCCGGCTCCCTGCTCAGCGGGGAGCCCGCTTCTCCATCTGCCCCTCTCCCCACTCATGCTCTCTCTCTCAAATAAATAAATAAAATCTTTAAAAAATATATATGTATCTTGATTACTAGGAGTTTTGGGTGCCCCATTAAGTTTTACACCTGAGATGAGAGCCTACCTCCCCTTGCCCTAGCTCTTGCCCTGCCATTGGCCCTGCAAGCTCCAAACCCTCATCCTTTCCTCCTTTCTGCTCTCCTCCTCAAAGCAGTCATGGCAAAGAGACTTTCAGTCAGGTCAGAGAGGGCAAAGAAGTAGGGAGCAAGGTTTCTTAAGCAGGTCTGAGGATTTGCATATGGAACAACACTCCATTCTTGCTTTCCCTCACCTTTTTCCTCCGCCTACCCCTAACAGGCTGTGGTTCCCTGGGTCCCTTGCTTCTCTTATCTTTTGACTCTCTCCTCATGCTTTGCAGGGGAAATCTCATCCACACCTGGAGCTTCCACCTTTCATTATAATTGATAACCACCAAATTGATGTATCTGGAGCCCCAAACCTGTTATATGGTAAACTCACATGTAAACTCACACCTGCATCTGCCTCCTGCAATCTTCCCCTGGCTGTCCTCAGGAATCCCATACCCGATGTATTAGCTTTTTATTGCCACTGTAACAAATTGCCACACAAATATATTATCTGGCATGAGCACCTCGCAAGGCTAAAATCAAGGTGTCAGCAGAGTTGTGTTCCTTTATGGAGATTCTGGGGCTGGAGGGATCCATTTCCTTGCCTGTTCCACCTTCTAAGGGCCACCCATGTTCCTCGGCTCATGACCTCCTTCCTCCACCTTCAAAGCCAGCAACGTTGCATATTTCTGACCATTCTTCCATAGTCACATCTCCTTTAGATCACAGACAAGAAAATTTCTTTTTTTTTTTTTTAAAGATTTTATTTATTTATTTGAGAGAGAGAGACAGAGAGAGAGCACATGAGAGGGGGAGGGTCGGGAGGGTCAGAGGGAGAAGCAGACTCCCCGCCGAGCAGGGAGCCCGATGCAGGGCTCAATCCCAGGACTCTGGGATCATGACCTGAGCCGAAGGCAGACGCTTAACGACTGAGCCACCCAGGCGTCCCAAAAATGAACTTTAAATATGATCAAAAGAGAACTCAAGGGGCGCCTGCGTGGCTCAGATGGTTGAGCGTCTGCCTTCGGCTCAGGTCATGATACCAGGGTCCTGGGATCGAGTCCCGCATCGGGCTCCCTGCTCCTTGGGAGCCTGCTTCTCCCTCTGCCTCTCTCTCTCTCTGTCTCTCATGAATAAATAAATAAAATTAAAAAAAAAAAAAAAAGAGTCTGGCCTCATTATCTGCCCTTCTATCTTTCTCACATTTCACATCCACCTAGCAGTGAAGTCCTGCCAATTGTCCCTATGGAAATCTCCCTTCAGTCTGTGCCACGTCATGTAAACTCTTATCTACCTGACTTTCTTCAGGTTTGCCTGTTCTCGGATATTCTGAAGACACCTCAGCAGTTTTCTAGACTGAGTAGTGTCTTCACCTGTCTCCTGTCTCCACAGAGTTTCCCAACTCCAAATCTTCCTTCCACACTATCGCTAGAGTTATCTTTGTCAGATACACATTTCATCATGCCAGTCCGCAGTTCAAAGTACATTTATAGCTTCCTGCATTCTATAGGATAAAGTTCAGTTTCCTACCACGATGCAGAAGGCCCTTGGTAATCTGGCCCCAAACAAACTAACCAGCCTTATGTCCAACACCACAGGCTGCAGTCCAGCCATACCCAAGCAAGGGGAAATTCCCCAAAGACACCATTTTCTTCAACTTTCTGTGAATTTGCCTGTGCTGTGCTTCTACTTATAACGTCCTACATTCTCCCTCTGCTTGTAGAACTACTCATCCTCAAGAACACACTCAAAGAGGGGCGCCTGGGTGGCTCAGATGGTTAAGCGTCTGCCTTTGGCTCAGGTCATGATCCCAGGGTCCTGGGATCGAGTCCCGCATCGGGCTCCCTGCTCCTTGGGAGCCTGCTTCTCCTTCTGCCTCTCTCTCTGTCTCTCATGAATAAATAAATAAAATCTTTAAAAAAAAAAAAAAAGAACACACTCAAAGAGCACCCTCTCTGTGGTACTTTCCCTGTTACTCTTGTTTCCCTGGTCCCCTAGAATTCCACATGTGGGATGCTTGGGTGGCTCAGTCAGTTAAGTGTCTGACTTTGGCTCAGGTCATGATATCAGGGTCCTGGGATTGAGCCCCTGTCAGGGTCCACACTCAGCAAGGAGTCTGCTTGTCCCTCTCCCTCTCTCTCTGCCCCTCCCCCTGCTCATGCTTTCTCTCTCTCTAATAAACTAAAATCTTAAAAAAAAAAAAAAAAAAAAAGAATTCCACATGTTGGGTAGGAGCACATGATTTAGAGTCAGACAGCCCTGGGTTTAAATCCCCACTCCACCACTCAGCTGTTCTGATTTGGGGCAAGGTGTTTTTCTCTCTCAGTTTTGGATTTCTCATCTGCATCCACACCATAGGCTTCTTGTGAGGGTTAAATTAATAAATAATATGCGTAAGGTACCTATGTCAGTCACAAAAGTAGTACTCAATAAATGGCAGCCATTATTATTCATATATTTATTATATCCTCCATTATATATTTATGTATCTATCTCCATTAAAAGATTACGAGCCTCTTGAGGAGATAAAAAGCCATATTGAAAGGGCCATCTCATATCTGTTTTTTTCCTTAGCACCTAGCACAGTGTCTAGCGTATTGTAGGTATTCCACAAATAACTGTTACATGAATGGATCAATAGATATATGGATGGATGGATGGATGAATGAATGGATGAATGGATGAAAGAATGTCTTCCTACAGAAATAAGCAAAACAGTATTTTGACAATTCATGGATTTGGGAAACTTCTGAGAAAGTTTAAGGCATTTCTTTCTCACCTTTCACCTGGCAATCTCTTGCTCCAGATACGAGCCTGTTCTTATATAAATCCATGCAAGTGACTGTCCCCTGGTGGCCATTGAAGATTCGTATACAAGCCCCACTTTTCAGATCCCAGGATCTGCAGGAATCAGGCCAAAAAAAATGTTTTTGAGATTTTTCTGAGGACCCAAAGGGATCATACTCTATACAACTTCCCTTAGATCAACAGGTTGTTGGAAGGCGGCAAAGTTTCATGGTCAAGCTTAGAGTCAGAGGCCTGGATTTGAATCCCAGTTGCAGCACCTATTAGGTGCAACTTTGGGGAAGTTACTTAATTTCTGTGTAAGCTTCATTTCCTCAATGGTAGAATAGAAATGATAACAATAATAGTTACACCTCATAGGGTTTTTGTAAAGAATTAAATACACAAATGCAATGACCGTCAACCAGGAGTGATTTCCACCCCTAGGGGACATTCGGCAATGTCTGGAGACATTTTTGGTTGTCTCAAGTGGGGAGACAGATGCTACTGGTCTCTAGTGTGTAGAGTCCCAGGATACTGCTAAACATCCTCCAACGCACAGGACACCCTTCACACAAAGTACTTTACAGTCCCAAATTGAGAAACCCTGCATTAATTCATGTAACCCTGGAACGATGTTCAACATGTAGAAAATGCTTAATAAATGTTGGTTGGTATTAGGTGGAAGTTTCTAGAATCACCACCAGGCTTAAAATCCATGGCACTGATTCAATGGTAGAGCTGATCTTCAAACAAGAACAATAGAACCATTCAGTCACTTAGATCCAAAATATTTTATGTGTATTTCTAAGACATATCTAAGAAATACATGGGAACATGTATGAGTCACACCATTTTTTAATAAGCAAATTTGCCAGAGGTCTCTCAACTATCACTGATACAGACTTCCACTTCAGCCAGTTTGCTTTTGCGATGGGACAAAGTGTAATATTAAAATAGTGGGTATCTAAGATAGATAGATAGAGCCAGGTGGCCTGAGGTACAATTGCAGGTCCATCACTTACTAGCTGTATGATCTTGGATAAGTTAATGAACCACTCTGTATCCCAGTTTCCTCATGTGTAATTTGGGGATAATAATGGTAGTTACCTCATAGAGTTATTATGAGACTTGGTACATAATAAATGATTAATAAATGTGTCTTTTGTTTTTCTTTGAATGTGCTATGCTTTTCCTTCTAATATTCCCAAAGGTCCTGTGGCTTTAGCTGTTTTTCAGGGCCTACTATGAACCCACAGTTCATTTAAAGATATCCCAGTGATCTGGGAAAAAGCATGCTTTGAATTTCTGTTTCTAGCAACACGGCTGACCATGTGATCAGGTTGTTTTTCTTAAGTTATGTAGAAAAGATATTTGATAAACACTCTTAGAAAAATAGGAACAGGGATGCCTGGCCGGCTATGTCAGAAGAGCATGAGACTCTTGATCTTAGGGTCGAGAGTTCAAGCCCCGCATTGGGTGTAGAGATTACTTAAATAAATAAATAAGCTTTTTTAAAAAAGAAAAAGAAAAATAGGAATAGAAGGAACTTCCTTGATTTCACAAACTTATAAACAAAAAGTCAGAACAGCAAGCATTATACTTAGTGAAAAAAATATATATATACTCCCTTCAAAAAGGATAACAAGATGCCTGCTCTCACTACTTCTGCTTAACTGGAAGGCCTAGGCAAAGTCAGAAAGAAAGAAAAAGAAAAAGTAGTATATAAGCATTAGAAAAGAAGATAATTATTATCATTATTTCTGGTTGAAAGATCATCTACATAGAAAAACCAAATCAGCACATATACTTTTAAAACTGATAAGAGAAGTTAGCAAGGTTGCTAAATACAAGAACAATCTATAAAAATCAGTACCATTTCTCTATACCAGCAATAATCAATTTAAAAATATAAATAAAGATAAGATACTGGGCGCCTGGGTGGCTCAGTTGGTTAAGTATCTGCCTTCGGCTCAGGTCATGATCTCAGGGTCCTGGGATCAAGTCCCGAATTGGGGGAGTCTGCTTCCCCGTCCCCCTCTGCCCCTCCCCCTACTCATTCTCTCTCTCAAATAAATAAATAAAATCTTTAAAAATAAAAAAAGTTTAAATTTAAAAAAATTTTTAAAAAAGATACTTCAGGGGCACCTGGGTGGCTCAGTTGGTTAAGCGACTGCCTTCGGCTCAGGTCATGATCCTGGAGTCCCGGGATCGAGTCCCGCATTGGGCTCCCTGCTCGGCAGGGAATCTGCTTCTCCCTCTGACCCTCCTCCCTCTCATGCTCTCTGTCTCTCATTCTCTCTGTCTCAAATAAATAAATAAAATCTTTAAAAAAAAAACAAAACACAAAAAACAAAAAAAGATACTTCAGGAGAATATCTTCATGACTTTACCAAAGGGAGGGATTTCTTAAACGTGTTAAATCCATGAAGTCAACTGACTTAAAGTTAAGGATTTCTGTTCATCAAAAGACACCACAGTCGGGTGCCTGGGTGGCTCAGTCGTTAAGCGTCTGTCTCCAGCTCAGGTCATGATCCCGGGGTCCTGGGATCGGGCCCCGCATCGGGCTCCCTGCTCGGCGGGAAGCCTGCTTCTCCCTCTCCCACTTCCCCTGCTTGTGTTCCCTCTCTTGCTGTCTCTCTCTCTGTCAAATAAATAAATAAATAAATTTTAAAAAAAGAAAAATAAAGACACCACAGTGAAAAGAGGAGTCTTAAATTGGAAGAAGAAATTTGCAACACAAAAATAAACAAAGAATTAGTATCCAAAAAGTATAAACAACTCTGACGAATCAATAAGGATAAATAAATTAACAGAAAAATAGGCCAAACCACAACAAAAACTGAACAGGAATTTCATAGAAGAAGCACAAATGGGTCTAAAACATATTGTGATGGTTAATTTTATGTGTCAACTTGGAGGGTGGTTTGGGACAAGATCAACATTTAAACCAATGGGCGTCGATTGACAGCTGAATGGATAAAGAAGATGTGGTATATACATACAACGGAATATTATGCAGCCATCAAAAGGAATAAAATCTTGCCATTTGCAACGACATGGATAGAACTGGAGGGTGTTATGCTGAGCGAAATAAGTCAATCAGATAAAGACATGTATCATATGACCTCACTGATATGAGGAATTCTTTTTTATTTTTTAAAGATTTTATTTATTTATTTGACAGATAGAGAGCACAAGTAGGCAGAGAGGCAGGCAGAGGGAGAGAGAGAAGCAGACTCCCCGCGGGGAGCCCGACGCAGGGCTTGATCCCAGGACTTCAGGATCATGACCTGAGCCGAAGGCAGTCGCTTAACCGACTGAGCCACCCAGGCGCCCCCTGATATGAGGAATTCTTAGTCTCAGGAAACAGACTGAGGGTTGCTGGAGTGGTGGGGGGGTGGGAGGGATAGGGCGGCTGGGTGATAGACATTGGGGAGGGTATGTGCTCTGGTGAGCGCTGTGAATTGTGCAAGACTGTTGAATCACAGATCTGTACCTCTGAAAGAAATAATACATTATATGTAAAAAAAAAAAAAAAAGAAGAAGAAGAAGAAGAAGAAGATAGCAGGAGGGGAAGAATGAAGGGGGGGGAAACCGGAGGGGGAGAGGAACCATGAGAGACAATGGACTCTGAAAAACAAACTGAGGGTTCTAGAGGGGAAGGGGGTGGGAGGATGGGTTAGCCTGGTGATGGGTATTAAAGAGGGCACGTTCTGCATGGAGGACTGGGTGTTATATGCAAATAATGAATCATGGAACACTACATCAAAAACTAATGATGTAATGTATGGTGATTAACATAACATAATAAAAAAATAAAAAAATAAACCAATGGGCATCGAGTAAAGCAGATTGCCCTTCATAATGTGGATGGGCCTCATCCAATCAACTGAAGTCCTAAACAGAACAAAAAGACCAACCTCTCCAGCAAATCACCTGCAGACTTATGTCTACCCCCAGCTCTCCTAGGTCTCCAGCCTGCTGGCCCATACTGCAGATTTGAAACTTTTCCAGTCTCCATCATCATGTGAGCCAATTCATTATAATAGATCTCTTGAGATATATATATATATATATATATATATATATATATATATATACATATATATACACACATCTCACTGGTTCTGTTTCTCTGGAAACCTTAATACACACATATGAGAATATGCTCAATCTCATTAGTAATCAAAGAAGTAAAAATTAAAACCACAATAAGGATTTATTTAATACCCATCAGATTGGCACTTAATATTGTCAGTCTTAAAGATTTACTAATAAGTATTAGTGGGGATTTATAAAAGGGATCTTCTCATACCCTGCTTATGAGAGTGTAACTTAATACAACTTTTAAAAAACAATTTAGGGGCGCCTGGGTGGCTCAGTCATTAAGCGTCTGCCTTCGGCTCAGGTCATGATCCCAGGGTCCTGGGATCGAGTCCCACATCGGGCTCCCTGCTCGGCAGAAAGCCTGCTTCTCCCTCTCCCACTCCCCCTGCTGGTGTTCCTGCTCTTGCTGTCTCTCTCTCTGTCAAATAAATAAATAAAATCTTTAAAAAAAAAAAAAACAATTTAGTACTCCTACCTGGAAATTTCACTACAAAGAATAAACCTTAAGAAAAACTCATGCACCATGGCTAACAATACTGCATCATACATTTGAAAGTTGCTAAGAGAGTAGATCTGAAAAGGTCTCATCACAAGAAAAAAATATGTAACTATGAGTAGTGATGGATATAAGTAATCTTACTGTGGTAATCATTTTCCAATATATACATATATCAAATCATTATATCATATACCTAAAACTAATATGTTGTATGTCAATTATATCTTAATAAAAAAATTTTTTTTTACTAATTTTCTAAGTAATCTCTACAGCCAACATGGGGCTTGAACTCACAACTCCAAGATCAAGAGTCTCATGCTCTACCACTGAGCTAGCCAGGTGCCCCAGAAAAAATTTTTTTAAAAACTCATGCACATAGGTACCAGGAGACACATCCAAGAACATCTGGAGCAGAAGATGTTTGTTCTTTGAAAGAATAAAAAACTGGAAATAATGCAACCATCCGTCAACAAAAGATGAAATGAGTTATAATATAGTCACCCAATAAAAGACTATGTCTCAATGAAAATAAATTAATTACTGCTACCTACATCTTATGCATAAATCTCAAAATCATGGTTCAGTGCAAGAATCAAGTACAGATGAATTTTTTAAATGCAACTCTATTTACATTAAGTTTAAAAATAGACAAAAGCTATCAATATATTTAGAGATCTATAAATAGGCAGCAAAACTATAAAGAAATACAAGGGAATAATTAGTATAAAATTTAGGATAACATTACCTCTGCTTGGGAGGGAGAAAGAAGGGGATTTGGGGAATGGTAACAATCTATTTCTTGGCCTGAGTAATAGTACATCGCTGTTTATTATATTGTTTAAAAATATGTGTGTATGTATATATACATTTTTAAACACTATTTTGCTTCTCTACCACATTTCATACCCACAGACAACCACTTTTCCCTGAGGAATCTATAAAAAGAAATATAAATTATGCCACCATCTAAGAGTGCTAAAAAAGATACTTTCCGATTCACAGCCTTCATCTAGAAAACAGATCTGATAATCATTATAAATCAGTCTCATTCAAAGTTTAAACAATATACAAATTATTGGTTTTTACCTTGTCAAATAAAGAAAAAAATTTTACGGGTTATTCAAGAAGTCAGTATCATTTAGGATAACTTTTCAATAAATACTAAAAGGAAAAAGCATGCATGCTTCTTGCACAAGCTGACTTTAGGCCTTGGGTAGGGTAGACCGCAACTCCCTTGGACGATTTACCTGATACTCAGGTCATAACTCCCGCTCAGTAGAAAGTTCTCCTCCTCACACAAGAAGAGGGCGCGGACACTCCCAGCATGGCCTCGGAACGCAATGGGTAACTCCTTTACTTGTATGACATCTAGAAGCTGGATCTTCCGGTTGGATGACACTGCAACCAAATCTCCCCCAGAATAGTGAATGACTCTGTTTCGATCCCACCTGAGTTGCCGGGGGAAAAAGATGATCCATGAAAGAAGAGTTAGTGTCCTACCAGAACTCTCTTAATATGATGGCTGTCACCTGCAGCAATGGTATATGGGAAGCAGATGGCACATCCCTGGTGGACCCCTACCTTACACCATACCAAAAAGTCATTTCAGGTTAAAACCTAAAGACAACAGGCAAAACCATGAATGAAAGAAAGAAAGAAAGAAAGAAAGAAAGAAAGGAAGGAAGGAAGGAAGGAAGGAAGGAAGGAAGGAAGGAAGGAAGGAAGGAAGGAAGGAAGAAAGAAAGAAAGAAAGAAAGAAAGAAAGAAAGAAAGAAAGAAAGAAAGAAAGAAAGAAAGAAAGAAATCTTTCTTTATGATAAATCCCCAAGAGAGGACGGAATAGGCATCATTTCCCAAACTTATTTGACCACAGGTATCTTTTTTTGTGGAAAATCTCAGAGGAACACAGCTGGGAAGCCCTATACCAACAGCATATCCCACTGTTTCTTTCCTTTTTTTCTCTCTTAACCAATAGCCAATGAGTATATATTAGGTTCAAAGTCCTGTGCTAACAGATACCATGGGAAATACAAAGATGAATTAAGATATGGATCTTGCCTTCAATGAGATTGCAGTCCAGGAAAACAGGGGAAGTTAAGTTAATTTTCCAATCAGAAGATTATTAGCAAGTAGATAAAATATGAGCAAGATGACCAAATCATTTATTGTCCAAAATGAGACTTTTTTATTGTGAAGGGGGACACTATTATTAATAATTCCAGGACCACAGAGTAAAGTGGGATTATTTTAGCAAACAGGGATGTAGTCATGTCTGAATATGAGAAGTAATTCTTGATATTTTCATCCTCATTCCCCTTGTTATATGTAGAGTTCAATCAGCCATCACCTCTTCTAAAGGGCACCATGCCGTCCATAAAAACTCACCTTTGCCTTTCCCCTGTCCGCTGTGTCTTCGCCCTACTGACAGCTCAAGATGTAATTTGTAATTAACATTCACAGTCAAAAATAAAATAGAGAGAGACAGCCTCCACAAAGCCTGATGAATAAAGAGTGAAGTCCTAGGCCTAAAGTATGGCAGAAAGTTGATTATTGGGGCACCTGGGTGGCTCAGTTGGTTAAGCATCCAACTCTTGGTTTCAGCTCAGGTCATGATCTCAGGGTTGTGGGATCAAGCCCCGCATTGTGACGGACTCCATGTTCAGCGGGGAGTCTGTTTGGGATTCTCTCCCTCTCCTTCTGCCCCTCCCCCCACTTGGGCTCACGCTCATTCTCTCTCTCAAATAAATAAATAAATCTTGGGGTGCCTGGTGGCTCAGTCGGTTAAGCGTCTGCCTTCGGCTCAGGTCACGATCCCAGGGTCCTGGATTTGGGGTGGCTTTGGGCTCCCTGCTCAGTGGGGAGCCTGCTTCTCCCTCTCCTGCTCCCCCTGCTTGTGCTCGCTCTCTGAAATAAATAAAAATCTTTTAAAAAATTTTTTTAAATAAATAAAATTTAAAATAAATAAATTAATTAAAGTTGATTATTGAAGGTCCTTCTATGGCATATACAAGGGATATCACACCATGCACTTATCATAAATACCATCTTCATATTTAACATGGAAAGATACCCACAGTACTTTGCTGGAGTGGGTTACAGAAATATGTACAGCATAACCCCATTTTTAAAGACTTTATTTATTTGAGAGAGAGAGCGTGAGATAGAGAGAGAGCACAAGCAGGGGAGAGGGTTAGAGGGAGAGGGAGAAGCAAACTCCCCACTGAGTAGGAAGCCTAACATACGACTAGATCCTAGGACCCTGGGATCATGACCTGAACCGAAGGCAGATGCTAAACTGACTGAGCCACCCAGGTGCCCCATAACCCCATTTTTATTAAAAATTTGTAGGTAGGGGCACCTAGGTGGCTCAGTTGGTTAAGCGTCTACCTTCAGCTCAGGTCATGATCCTGGGGTCCTGGGATCGAGTCCCATGTCGAGCTCCCTGCTCAGTGGGGAGTCTGCTTCTTCCTCTACCCCTCCCCCTGCTTGTACTCATGTACTCTCTCTCTATCTCAAAAATAAATACATAAAATCTTTAAAAAATAATAAAATAAAATAAAATTTGTAGGCATACATGCAAAGAAAATTCTAGAATATAAACATACATGAATATTAATATAATGAATATTAATTCATGTATTGATATACATGAAGATTATAGGAGGTCTTTGCTTTTCTCTATACATTTTCTGGCATTTGGTGGATTCCTTCTGCACAATAAGCATATATTACTTCTAAAATTAGAATAAAACAATAAAAATATTTCAAAAAAAAGGAATGCTTTCATGCATGTGACTTGTGTGAAAGACTGTTGATCAGTATACCCAAAATTATAATGGAAGATGTCCTCTACCCACTGCGGAGAATGGTGTCAACATCCAGCACTATTCTCCGAAGGGGATCTCGTGTTTGTGGGGTGCTGGAGCTTGAGGTGAGGAAGGATTGCCTTTCCAAGTGAACGGGGTCATGGGAATCCTAAAGACCCCTAAAGTGTGGGTAATTCAAGGGTCCCTGAAGACCTGGATTCTGACCCCGATACCTACGTGTCAGAGAGAATGCGGATATTATAAGTCCCACAGAAGACATTTCTCTCCTCCATCTGGACCTGCTGAGTTTCCTGGTTCTGGTATGCGGCCCACAGGTTGTAGTCATTCTAACAAGGGAACACTTGGAGTCAAAGCACAGTGGCAACTCTACCCCGGACCCCAAACATGCACCCCCTAAGGTCTTCCCGGGCAGGGACATAAGGGCCCAAGGAATCTTCCTCTTTGGGCTATGGCTGCCACTAGGTGTGGGTAGGGAGGGACCCATGAGCAGGCCCTAAAGAATCCACGGACAGTCAAGGGTCCTGACTCGTCCTCCATCTCTTTGTATTTTCTGTGTGTTCTGGTTCCATGAACTTTCGAGGTCAGTGATCACTCAACTTTTCCAAAAATGAGCTCACAAAGGGTAATGCTTACAAAATAGTCACAGGCTATTTTGCAGAAGTTGGGGTTTCGTGGGTACATTGCATATACCTTACAGTACAGAGCGTATTGATGGGAACTCAAGCCCTATGTGAAATCACAGCTACACACTCTACGCATTTGTGCCTCGAAGTCTGCACACAGAGGCAAGCTTGATTTCTCATGAAGTACATCACTTGCCCCACGAAGTATTCTCATCATTTTAGATATGAGATACAGCTGAGCCCCAGAGAGAAAAAAATCAATTTTATCAAGTCTCAACGGGGGTGTTTTCCTTCCTTTTTTAAGAGTTTCTTCCTTCCTTCTTTCCTTCCTCCCTTCCTTCCTTCTTTCCTCCTCCCTCAGTCCCTCCCTTCCTTCTCCCGTCCCTCCCTCCCTCCACGGCACATGTTCTGAGACACTATGGCCTGCCAGACATACTAAATTCTGGCACAGATGACTCAACCAGCCTCTCAGTTTCACTCCTCTTTCTGGCCATACTCTTCACCCTCAAATAATAGGAAATGATAACCATGCTAGCAGGAAACCAAAAAACAGTGTGAGTTTATCATGAAAGCAAAGAAAACCACAGCATCACGTTTGGACCTGGGAGCCCTCCTGGGAACATCTCTTCAAAGTCTCCTTCCTACTTAGCCCTCACCATGCCGGTCAACTCTTCCTTGGGATGCCTGTTTTTCTCGGCTCAACCTCCTTCTTGATCTTTAGCCCAGTAGTGATGTCCACCTCAGGAGCCCCTCCGCAGAATCTGTCAACCTGCCTCCCCTTTAATGTCCAAGCAGCTCTGATATCCTGCCTTGAATTAATCAAGACTTCCTTGGCTTCTCATGCCTGGGCTGGAATTCCTCGGCTCTTTGTCATCAGCTAGGTTTTGAGAGCCTAGAAGCTCCGTGGTGGAGTCATTGGGAGGAAAAAGACCTGATTCAAATCCCAGCTCTGCCACTGACCAGCTAAGAGACCTTTGGCAAGTTCTGGAATCTCACAGCCTTTATTTCCACATCCAGAAACTGGGAGCAATGATATCCACTCGATCTACAGTGAAGATCAAGTGAATGATGTCTACAAAGCCCTTGGCACCACGCCTGGCACACCATTCAACCTCAGGACCCATGGCAATCATCAGCCCGGAGAAGCACTATACCTTTCGCTAGCAGACCCCTTAGCTGCCTTGTCTTGTTCCTTCATGTTTCTCGTCTGTTGTCCATAGGGCTTTACCTGTTTCTCTCTCTTTTCTTAAATTAGAACATTTCTAAAATCTTAAACGCTGCTTGGGTAGTCCTTTTTTGTCAGGCAATTACTAGCTATGTCACCTAAACAAGAAGGGTGTTAGTTCTGTTATACTTAGAGCAACAAGCTTGGAAAGAACGGGTCAGTGTCCAACTTGTATCTCTGTCACTCTGTCTGGGAGACCTGAAACTCTCTGCACCTCAGTCTCTTCATCTGTAAAATGAGTGAATGGGCCAACTCAAAGATAAAAAGTTGCAGGTCAGATGAAGTCCACAAATGTGTTTTCTTTGGCCCCCACAGTTTAAAAAAAAAGAATGCTTTTAATTGGTTGCCCGCATTTAAGGAAAACGAGAGATGTCACAAGATAATTCAGATTTCTAACTTTTCTTGAAAGCTCAGATGGACGGGGAGGTTGAGGTCCACAGTCTCCCATGGCAATAATTCGCCGGAGCTGAGTAGCAACTGGCCCCTTCAGATGGGGAGGGAACTCTCCAGCTCATGGTGGTTCTGTCACACCCACTCACACCACCAACCTCCCTCATTCCTGTGACCTGTCTAGCTTCTACAGACATATGAACTAGATGGTCGCTCTGGTCCCTTCTACCCCTCAAATTCTAACTCATACTACACAGTTTCCGTATGAGAAGCTACAGTCTGGCCACCCCTCATTAAGTATCCTTTTGGGGCCCACTGAAGAGATTTCAAAAGAGAAGGCCCTTGAGCAGAGAGGAGGGGGCAAGAATCTGATGGTTTTAGGAATGACCACCATGCCTGGATAAGCTATATAGAGAGCTCAGTCTTTCATCAGCTCTTCATCATTGTCTGAGATTTGATAGGGAAGTTTATGGCTAAGTAACTGCCCCCCTTCATTCCTAGAACCAGAATAAACCTGGAAGTGAGAGGGGAGAGAGCTTAATTCATTCGGGACCCTGGACATTCTGGACCCTCCCTGACCCTCACATTCCTGAGCCACAGACTCTTACAGCCTCTGGATGGGTAGACTGACGGATGCTGAGGAAAATCCCAGCTATCACTGACAGCCACTCATTTCACAGATGAGGAATTTAAGGCTGAAGTAGAGGAAGTCATCTTGCTTAAGGACACACAGCACAGAACTCTGGTCTCCCTTAGGGACTGTCACCTCCCAGACCCTAAATCCATACTCTATATCCTCTATCCTCCCATTTCCTCTACCCTCATGTGACAGCTGAGTCTGGACTCCAGCATGGCTAAGGAGAACAGGACATCACAGTGACTTGCCCCAGATGCCGCAACCACCCACCTTTGTTCTCAGTTTCAATTTCTGATTTTTCACACGCATACGCTTCCCGTTATCAGTTATTTTAGGAACCGGGATAAAAAGCCTGTTGGCATAATGAGGATCGATTCCCTTTGTGTAGGATCCCTGAGGGAAAACATAAACAGAAAATGGTTATTACTCTTGGCCCTTACGCTCCAAGAGGAGGGGGAAACTAGTACTTGGCAAGATCTGAAAGGTGGGTAAAGTCTGGCGAAGGAAGGCCCAGGCCTGGCCCGTTAGGCTGGTAGTATGTGCAGATTGGCGTGGGGTGGATGATGAATACCAAATACATACAGGGACACCAGCAGGAAATGGCCAGCAGTCCTCAGTTTCCCAGAGGATGGCCCGCCTCACAATGCCTGCCTCTCCCTGTCTTTGGTTATCTACGTCTGCTGGGAAAAACTCAAGCTACCAGGAACCCATGATGCAGGGTAAGGCTTCAGGCAGGAAACAGAAGTAAAAATGTCAGAGATGGGGGCGCCTGGGTGGCTCAGTTGGTTAAGCGACTGCCTTCGGCTCAGGTCATGATCCTGGAGTCCCTGGATCGAGTCCCGCATCGGGCTCCCTGCTCGGCGGGGAGTCTGCTTCGCACTCTGACCCTATCCCCTCTCATGTGTTCTCTCTCTCTCATTCTCTCTCTGTCAAATAAATAAATAAAATCTTTAAAAAAAAAAAAATGTCAGAGATGGATACTATTCCAGGAGAATTGCATCTGGACCCAAGAATATGCTTTTTGATCTTTGAAACATCTGTGTACCACGTGAGGAGGCTCCAGGAACATACTCATGGCCCTCTTATTGCAAAAGCCACAATATAGCTCTCTGGGGAAAACAATCCCCCGCCCTGCGAGGGGTGATTAACAGAGAGACCAGACACAGAGGAAGCGACTACTGAAGCCTACAAAGCAGCAAACATGGAGCAGAAGGCCAACTAAGGGTCTACGGAATAGACCAGAAAGGCCCCAAATCAGGCCAAGTCCAACACAGAAATGAGGCCAGTCTCCAGATCAACCCCTCCCAGATAGGAAGTACCTGCAAGAAGGTAATATGGCCCTGAATGAAAGTATGCATCGACAGATCCATCTTCACCTGCTGCACCAGCATGGCCCAGTGCCAGCTCACGGAGGCACACCTGTTCAGGCTGTTTTTATCCAGCATACCTGAAACAAAACAAAACAAACCAAAGACATGGACCTGGGAACCTCCCAACCAAGCCACGATGCGCAGCATCTCGAGAAACCCCCCAGCACAGCCCGGCATACTTAGAATATACTTGGAGAGGTGGACGGGCAGGTAATGGATGAAGTCCCGGAATTTGCTAACCCCGGAAGACAGGTCTTTGACAACATCCAAATCAACCAACAGATCGGAGGGGGTGTATTCTGCCTTCGACAGGTCTGCTTTTCTGGAAAACAGCCTATTCATCTCGGAAATACACTGGATCGAACTCTTCCATGGTCCTTCTAGAGGAAAACCAGACAAAGGTGCGGGATGGGGTTGATTTTATGGTAACTCCAGGCCAAGAGAAGCCCTCAGCAAACCCTCTCCCCAGAAATAGAGCTCATCGGAATCCACCCTTAGACCACTGGATTTTTGTCAATATTTCTGCCAAACTGGAAATAACAACCTCCCCAACCAAATGCACAAGGACTTTTCAGCCTTCCCAGTTCCAGGAGATACCTAGAGTAGCAAAGCCTGCCCCACTCAGGTTGAAATGGCCTTGTGCCTGGAATTTCCTTAGAATACCCCAAGGAAAAAACAAATTTAAACAATTTTGTAAAGGGGCAAATGAATGACATGAATGAGTCTAGTGTTGACAATTATCGAAGTTGAGGGATGGTTATGTGCCTAGTGATTACACTGTCTTATCTGTTTATGAAATCTGGAAGTTTCCAGATAAAAAGTGCTTGAGAATCAATGCTTTGTGTTTCTTGTAATTACATCACGTAGAGATTTCGCTTCACAAACCAACTCAGGAGAGCCTTGAGGTTAGGCCCCAGGTCCCCCTACTGCTTTTGTCTCCTCCTCAAGACTGAATCCAGTGCTATAAAAAAATAGGCATTGATGGGCTGACTTCTAGAGGTGCCCACCACACCAAAAGGTCAGGGGTCAGATTAGGGATGGTGGCCCGGGGCAGAGGGAGACTCCAAAGGAAACCCTTTGATAGTTTCCTTTCTGAGCTCTATTTTCAGGTGTCTCTCAGAGGCACCAAGATGGAGAAGTGAAAACATGGACTTTAAGGTGATAATGACTACCTTTAATTCTTGCTTCTCCCATACCGGATGCGGGATTCGATGACGTCATAAGGATCAGTGAGCCCAACACACTGTTGGTGCCAAATGAACGTTCGTGTCCAAAATCTGCCACCGCCAGATGCTACTGCCCTGTGCCTGCCACTCCAACCCCATCGGGACTTCCCAATCTCCTATCTTTTAGCTTTCTTGCTACAAGCTGACTTACCAATATTAGATGCCCCAACTCCCATGTTTTCAAGCGACTTTTCTTTTCCTGAAGCTCTGGACAAAGGGAAGGATGCGTTCTTGGTGCTAGCTGCCCAGAAAACATCTGAGGTCTCACACTGCGCGTTGTAGTCTTTCTCGGGAAAGAAAAACACATCACTAGTGTCTTGATCGAGGCCTGAAAAGCCAATGGCCAAGACAAGGTTGCTCTTTAAGCGGGGGTGTGGAGGAAAGGAGGTGAGACCAACACTTTAATTTCTACTAGCTTCTCTTCAATCTACATGAAACAGACCAGGCCAGTTATGTCTGGTTTTTCAGGGGCGGGGTGAGGAGGGGGCTTCAGAGTTTCTATACAAAAATTGCAGAAAGGGGCGCAGTGGGTTTAACGTCTGCCTTCGGCTCAGATCATGATCCCAGCAACATGGGATCAAATCCTAGGAAGGCATGGGCTCCCTGCTCAGCGGGGAGCCTGCTTCTCCCTCTCCCACTCCCCCTGCTTGTGCTCTGTCTCTCTCTCAAGTAAACAAATAAAACCTTAAAGAGAGAAAAAGCTTAAAAAAAAAAAAAATACAAGAAATAAATAAATAAATGCCTGACAGTTACAAGTTCTGTACTTCCTTGTGTGTGTGCATTTTATACTTTTCTAGAAGGAAGTCACGGTCAATTTCTCCTTCAGTGAACAGGACTGCAGGTGAGGACAAGGAACTCTATCCCGCATTCTGGAAGATCCCCGTCTACCTAAGCTTGTCCACACCCTGGGTCCCTTACAGGCTCCCGAAGTCTGGCTTCCTAGTCCACCTGCGCACTCATTACCTGCAACATTGTTCTGCTGTCTCAGAAACAGGACTCGGATGACATTGGCCGCCGTGAGCAGCAGCTTGGGGTCGCACATCTGCAGTAGCAAGAGCGTGTAATTTGCCTTGGTCCGGTGGGTGCTTCTCCCAAACCAGTACAGAATCTCCCTCATCTTCTGTTCTACGGTTTTATCCAACATCTGGTTCAAGGAAGACCTGACGATTTTCCCCTCCTTCCTGCTGAGGTTGATCCGGGACCGGCTGTAGATGAAATCCTTCCCCTGTGTGGTCTGAAGGATATTCTGAAAATAGTGCAGCAAATAGAAGCTATCCAGCTGCTCCAGGATGCTCACTAGAAACCTCCTCTGGGGCACCTCTCCCACCCTCCGGAACCACTCTTTGGTAGAGAAGATCTTCCAAGCCAAGACACATGTTTCGCACTTTTGGCACACGGGGACAGAACTGTCTCCCCTCTCACAACGAAAATAGGGGGCATTCCTGAGCCTCGGGTCCAGGTTTTCCATGATCCTGAGATGACCAGCTCATTTTATCCTTGCCCGTTGTCAACCCCACTACACACCAGAGGTACAGGAGAAGCTGATAGGTATCCCAGTTGAGCCTTTTCTATTATAAACATTTCCCAGAGGAAAGGTAAACCCCTGCGTTGGATGGAAAGCTGATCTCTCCCAGAAACTGCCAGTAGAAGTCTGGCTTTTTGTACTGACCTCCTAGGAAACATGGCTTTTACCGTAAATCTCCTAAACCGGGCACTGCTTAGCTGCAGGCAGTTGCTGTATATTCTGAAAGAGCTGGTCATCCCATTTCTAGAACAACAAGAATAGGGTTAGTCCAATTGAAGTAATACGTGGAACTCTCTTAAAGGAAAAAAAAAAAAAATATATATATATATATATATATGGTGTTGAGCTTCAATTGTTTTTGTTTTTTTTTTTAAGATTTTATTTATTTGAGAGCGAGAGAGAGAGAGAATGAGAGAGAGAACACGAGAGGGGGTAAGGTCAGAGGGAGAAGCAGACTCCCTGCTGAGCAGGGAGCCCGATGTGGGACTCGATGTGGGACTCGATCCCGATCCCGGGACTCCAGGATCATGACCTGAGCTGAAGGCAGTCGCTTAACCAACTGAGCCACCCAGGCGCCCGTGCTTCAATTGTGATTAATGACTTGTAAATGTAAATGTAAATGTTCATGATGTACTTCTTACATTTGTAGTTGTTTGGCTATAAGGTGGCTATCCCAATGATGCTGAATATGTGTATATTCGTTTTCTAAACTCATCGTCGAACTGAAAACACAAATGCTTAAAATGAACGTAAGTCGTTTTCACTGTTTCAGAATGCTAACCAGTTACCTCTGCTGGGAAGCCCTCCTTTGTGGAAAAATTTCTCTCCGCCTCAATCACACGCAGGAGCATGTGTAGGGTCAGGGTGGCAGTACAGTGACTGAATTTGGCGGGGGTGGGGGGGGGGGGCGGGTGCTGCCTGGGGTGCATTAATTTGAACACAACCCAAGGAAGTGTTTGAAAGCAAAGAACTTTTGATTACCTGATGCAAGTAAGGAGACAGGGAGATCGCTCTCAAAGCACCGTCTCTCCGTGGGATGAGGACAGGAAGCTTTTATTCAGTGTATTAGGGGGCGGGGGCAAGGAGCTTGCATATACATTAAGGAATTGATACATATTCTATTACTTGGGCATTTCGGTTCAATTGCTCAGACCAAGCCCGTCCACATGCTAGTGCATGCATTATGTCCAAAAAATGGCAGACAATTCCACCCATAGGGGGAGAGCTTAGTATTATAAGGAGCTAAAGGTAAGTTCAGGACAAGTTTGCGGGGCGGGGCGGGGCGGGGCGGGGGGCGGGGGAGGAGTCTGTGCAGATTCTCAGCTCCAAGCCCGCTCAGACTGGCTCCGGTAGAAGCTATCAGGTGAAATATCTAGCTAGGGGCTATCAGGTGAAACACCCAGCTGAGCAGCTCCCAAAACACAGCACATTCCTCCCTGGCTCTCCTCCATTCCCCCTCTTCTTCCTTCTGCTGCTAGCTCTCAGCCCCCTGAGTACCTCCCAATGCATCCCAGGCAACAGTGTAGCCGGGTGGAGAAGAGTGAGGGGTCTGGGGTCAGACTCCTGGGTTTGGACCCCAGCCCAGCTGCTTACATAGCTCTGTGTACGCAAGCACATTACTTAATCCCCTATGCCTCCGTTTGTTCATCGTAAAACAAAGGCAACAATAGTTTCTACTTCGGAGTCAGTTTTTAGGAGGGATTAAATGAGATCCTATATGCAAAGCACTTAAAAGATCACCTGTTACATATTCAGCCCTCCATGAGTGCTAACTATTGTCCTATTGTCGTTGTCATCATGGGTGTCATTGGGATCATTTTCTGGGCAGCCAAGGAATCAATGCCCGCTCCAATCTCTACACGTGCGTATGTGCATACATTGAGATGCATGTAAAAAAATGACCCTATGCGTGCATGGTTTTTAAAAGAATAATGACAAAGGAGCACCTGGGTGGCTCTAGGGTCTAACTCTTGATCTCAGCTCAGTTGGGCTCCAAGCTGGGCATGGAGCCTACTTAAAAAAAAATGACATGAAATATGGTGTACCTATTTCGTGAAGTCTTTATACCACTTGCCGTGGCTTATGATCCATTCAGGAGTGATGACTTGGGACATTAAAGCCAACCGTCTGATGCACGTGTTCCCTCAGGTTCCCAAACAGAAGGCTTCTGCTCTCACTTATGACCCAGAAAGAGACCAGGGGCTCAGTGGGCTTTTCAAACATTTTGAACAACAAAATCCTATTAGCAAGTCGTATCTTCTGTAAAAGCTCAATGTGGAACATAGACAAAAGTGACGTTATATTAGCATAAATCTATAAGTTCAAAGTTCATTTGTTAGCAAGGCAATTATGGAGAGCAATGTGGCTATTCTGATGAAGACAAAACCTGGAGACCTGAAGTTAAAGATGACAGACACACCGGACGCCGGGGGCTCAGTAGGTTAAGTGTCCGACTCTTGGTTTTGGCTAAGATCATGATCTCAGGGTCGTGAGATCGAGCTCTGTGCTGGAGCCTGCTTAAGATTTCCTCTCTCCCGGGGCGCCTGGGTGGCTCAGTCGTTAAGCGTCTGCCTTCAGCTCAGGTCATGATCTCAGGGTCCTGGGATCGAGCCCTGCATCGGGCTCCCTGCTTCTCCCTCTCCCACTCCCCCTGCTTGTAGTCCCTCTCTTGCTGTGTCTCTCTCTGTCAAATAAATAAAATCTTAAAAAAAAAAAAAAGATTCCCTCTCTCCCTCTCCCTCTGCCCCTCCCCACTCTCTCAAAAAAGAAAAAAAAATACAGCTTCCTTCTAGGATTAGATCAGATGTGTGAGACCAGTTGTCACTGCTCTTATTGTTGTTATAATGATTTCCCTAGATTAGGCCAAAATGTTTGCAGTAACTGAGCATTTCTGGTGCCCGCGTCTGGAGACCAGTCACAGTTCAGGAAAGATATTGGATACCATTGGTCGGCTTGGTGGTAAAGGCAGTCTCCCACAAGGGTCGGGGTTGGGGACAGGAATTAGGCTGGGAAGGAGATCAGTTCTAACAGCTCGGCCTCTTCTGTCTTGATTAGTATCTGGAGAAGAGGCGAAAGTGGATTAGCATCTAAACTCCCCGGGAAGCCAGGCAGAGGAGGGTGGCCAGGAGTAAGAGTGCCCATTCACAGAGGGCTTGGGTGTGTAAGCAGGAGACGTACTACCCCTAGAACTGCTACAAGCTGAAAGTAGCTTGTGTTTTTTTGTTTTGTTTAGGGGGGAGGGGTGGGGAGAGGCAGAGGGAGAGAGGGAGAGAAAATCTTCGGCAGGCTCCACACCCAGCACGGAGCCTGATGCCGGGCTCCAACTCCCGACCCCGAGATCATGACCTGAACCGAAATCAAGAGTCAGACGCTTAACTGACTGAGCCACCCAGGCGCCCCTAAAGTGGCTTGTTTTTGAAGGTTCAAATTAATCAGTCCAAATTAATCAGACATACATCAAAGCAGTTTTATGCACCCAACTCAGTCTTGATTCCATGCTGAGGGCCAACTGTGGCCCCACAGAGGAGCACAAACCTGGGAGTCAGAGAGACTGGCTGGGACCCCACTACTGCTCCTGACTAGCTGTGTGACCTCGACAAAGCCTGTCTGAGCCCCCATTGTCTTATCTGTAGAAGATACATAATCCCGGGGCACCTGGGTGGCTCAGTCGTTAAGCGTCTGCCTTCGGCTCAGGTCATGATCCCAGGGTCCTGGGATCGAGCCCCACATCGGGCTCCCTGCTCTGCGGGAGGCCTGCTTCTCCCTCTCCCACTCCCCCTGCTTGTGTTCCGTCTCTCGCTATCTCTCTCTCTGTCAAATAAATAAATAAAATCTTTAAAAAAAAAAAAAGATACATAATCCCCACCCTGCAGGGTGTTGTACTATGACTACGTTAATTAAAGTAGGTGAGCATGGAATTTACTTCTGCTTCCTCTCCATTCCACTCACTACCCCTACACACACACACACACACACACACAGCATCTTACCTGCAAGGTGACCGGATGGGATAAGCCAAAGGTGGGGAACTGGCACCACTGGTCCCCAACAAGGCAGGCAGGCAAATAGGTCTCATCAGACTTAAGACCCAGAAGAGGAAAACAGTTCTCAAAGGAAGGCTTTGGGGCTGGGAAGTCCACCTGGGGATTTCTCAAATATCCAGGCTACCAGTAGCCTGGAGGCTTCATGCCAGTCTCCTAGCTGTCCTTTCTGCCCTGTGTTCTTCATGACTCTGATTAAATCATCTTCCCTACTTCCTTTTCCCATCCTCTCGTGCAGTTTGGAGAACCCCAGAGGGTACGGCTGCTTCACCCCACCCAGCTCTGCTGCCTTAGCTAACATTGCACCCACAGCCACCTGCCTGGCTCAGCCAGCATGAAATCAGGAAAGGGCTCGGGGGGCCGGAGTAGGAGGGTGTGGGTTGAAACCAGGCTGTGTTACAGCCAGCTACATGCCCCTCAATAATTCCCTTGCCACTCCGGGCCTGCTCCCCTTCTGTAAAATGGAGATCGTACTTCTGCCCAGCTCACAGGTGAGTGTCAGGGTCAAATGAATGGATGCATTTGAAGGGCATTTTTTTTTTTAAAGATTTTATTTATTTATTTGAGAGAGAGAATGAGATAGAGCATGAGAGGGGGGAGGGTCAGAGGGAGAAGCAGACTCCCCGCCGAGCAGGGAGCCCGATGCAGGACTCTATCCCGGAACTTCAGGATCATGACCTGAGCCGAAGGCAGTCGCTTAACCAACTGAGCCACCCAGGTGCCCTGAAGGGCATCTTATAGTGTGTGAAGAATTACACCAGTGCTGATATCAGGGAAAGCGGGGGGATCTCACATTTTATCCTCACCTCCCCATCATGCGGAGTTACAAAGTTAATTGAGCAAAGTCTCTGTTCCTAAGAAGTCTGTGAATTTCCAGGCGCCGAATTGCCCTTGGACTTTGCAAGAAGCGGGTGGAAAACAAGGGCATTGGCCAGAAATGTTTTATTATCCACAAGCGGGAGAACCAAGACAAGCACGGAAAAGTTTGAAACCTCGCTAAAATAGCTGAATCCCCGAGGAGATAGGGGACCCCCTGGGGTGGCCAAAAAAGTCTTCTGCTTGTACTAACAGTAGCAGGCGCTTGCTATTTGTAGTTGAAGAGCAGAGCAGGTTAAGGAGAAGAGATAGATGTAAGCCCGTGGTTCTCAAACTTACATGGGCTTCAGAATCCCCTCAAGGCCTTAATAAACCAGACTGCTAGGCCTGACCCCCAGAGTTTCTGATCCCTAAATCTAGGCTGGGAGCCCAAGAATTTACATTTCTTTTTTTTTTTTTTTCTTAAGATTTTATTTATTTATTTCAGAGAGAGAGAGCACAAGAGGGGGGAGGGTCAGAGGGAGAAGCAGACTCCCCACTGAGCAGAGAGCCCGAGGATGTTGGGCTCGAGCCCAGGATCCTGGGATCATGACCTGAGCCGAAGGGCTCCCTGCTCAGCCGGGAGTCTCCTTCTCCCTCTCCCTCTGTCTGCCACTCCCCTTGCTTGTGTTCTCTCTTTCTCTGACATATAAATAAAATCTTAAAAAAAAAAATCATGCTTGAAACTGACTGAATAAAAGATGGGGCCAGGATGCAGACAGGAGGGCCTGGGAGGTATAGCTGGAAGAAAGGATTACACGGGTTTTTATGGGAACTTCTGGAAGCATGTTGTAATTTGAAAAGGTTGAGAACACTGAATTGCTAGAGCTCGAAGCACCTCAGATAGGATAAGGGGTTCGTTGCAGTTTGACTATAGTAGCTTAGTAAGATCTTTTAAAAATTATTTGTTTGTATGAGACATAAACACATACACTTTTTTCCCCCAAGTAATCAGGGTCACTACATTAATTAATTTGGGGGGAAAGTTGTTAGTTTGGGGGAAAGGATTTTAACCCCGAATGCCTGATCACTGCTATGCTGACCCTCGGTCTTTGTTAGATGACCTGTTCGCCCTCTTCTTTTCTGGTACCTGGCCTCCTCCCTCCAGGGAGACTGGATTTTCTCAACAAGACTAGAGAACAAACCGGAAATGAAGATAAAGATGAAGCATGTCCCAGCAAAGCCTGGACGACTAGTCACTCTGCCTGAGCCATACACAGTATGTGCCCTGCATGTGCATATCAGGTGCACATGGTATAGTGACCCTCCCTACAAGGCCTCCTCCCCTACCACCGCCACCATGTTGTGGGTGCAGAGGGAGGGGAGTCGAGCTCAAATCAGAGGGCGCTAGAAGAAGCGGGAAATGTGCATGCTACCATTTCTTCCATTTCTGTCTTTGGCTAATGGGGCTGGAGTGGTGAGCCCCGAAATGGGGGCAGTTGGTTGTAGAGATGGGGAGCAATCAGGTGGATGGTCAGTCAATGACACAATACAAAATTCAAGATGGCCCCAGAAGACGTTGAATTAGAGGCGATACACCAGACATGGAATTGAGGGATGCATTCCATACGCTTTATCTGTTCCTGTCGTGAAGACTAGGTTCCTTTTTTATTTTTTTAAAGGTTTTTTTTTTTTTTTTAGATTTTTTTATTTATTTGACAGAGAGAGACACAGCGAGAGAGGGAACACAAGCAGGGGGAGCGGGAGAGGGAGAAGCAGGCTTGCCGCCGAGCAGGGAGCCCTATGCGGGGCTCGATCCCAGTACCCTGGGATCATAACCTGAGCCGAAGGCAGACGCTTAACAACTGAGCCACTCAGGCACCCCTAAACTAACTTTTTTAAAGTTTTTTTTTTCTTTAAGATTTTATTTATTTGATAGAGACACAGCAAGAGAGGGAACACAAGCAGGGGGAATGGGAGAGGGAGAAGCAGGCTTCCCGCCGAGCAGAGAGCTGGATTTGGGGCTTGATCCCAGGACCCCGGGATCATGACCTGAGCCAAAGGCAGACGCCTAACGACTGAGCCACCCAGGCACCCCAAAAAAGATTTTATTTTTAAGAAAACTCTACACCCAGGCGCCTGGGTGGCTCAGTTGGTTAAGCGACTGCCTTCGGCTCAGGTCATGATCCTGGAGTCCCAGAATCGAGTCCCACATCGGGCTCCCTGCTCGGCAGGGAGTCTGCTTCTCCCTCTGACCCTCCCCCCTCTCATGCTCTCTCTATCTCATTCTCTCTCAAATGAATAAATAAAATCAAAAAAAAAAAAAGAAAACTCTACACCCAACATGGGGCTTGAACTCACAACCCTGAGATCAAGAGTCACATGCTCTACCAACTGAGCCAGCCAAGTGCTCCTTGAATAGTAGATTCTTATTTAGTTCTTCAGATTCTATTACTTTTCACTTAAATTTAAATCAATTTTTGGGGGCTCCTGGGTGGCTCAGTCAGTTAAGCATCCAACTTTTGATTTCGGCTCAGATCATAATCTCAGGGTCATGAGATTGAGCCCCACAATGGGCTCTGCACTGAGCATGGAGCCTGCCTGCTTAAGATTCTCTCTCTCCCGGGTTGCTGGAGTGGGGGGGTGGGGGGTGGGAGGGATGGGCTGACTGGGTGATAGACACTGGGGAGGGTATGTGCTCTGGTGAGCGCTGTGAATTTTGCAAGACTGTTGAATCACAGATCTGTACCTCTGAAACAAATAATGCAATATATGTTAAGAAAAAAAAAAAAGAAGAAGAAGAAGAAGATAGGAGGGAAAGAATGAAGGAGGGAAATCGGAAGGGGAGACGAACCACGAGAGACAATGGACTCTTAAAAACAAACTGAGGGTTCTAGAGGGGAGGGGGGTGGGGGGATGGGTTAGCCTGGTGATGGGTATTAAAGGGCATGTTCTGCATGGAGCACTGGGTGTTATGCACAAACAATGAATCATGGAACACTACATGAAAAACTAATGATGTAATGTATGGTGATTAACATAACAATAAAAAAATTTTTTAAAAAACTAATAATGTCATGTATGGTGATTAACATAACAATAAAAAAATTTTTAAAAAAACTAATAATGTCATGTATGGTGATTAACATTAACAATAAAAAAGATTCTCTCCCTCTCCTTCTGCCCCTCTCCCCCTGCTCTCTCTCTAAATAATAATAATAATAATAATAATAATAAGTAAAATAAAAATATAAATCAACTTCTTGTGATCAAAAGATACAGCTAGTTATGTTCTGGGTCACTAAGTGCCTAGCATAGTGGCTTGCATGTTATAAATGCCACATGTGTTGAATCAATTTGATTTGAGGACAGTCATTCCAAAAACATGCTGAACCAGGTTAGAGAAATAAGGACTCCATGATTGGGTCAAAATTCCTGTCTCCTCATTCCATCATGAACCTTGGAAGGATGTGGGAATTCACTCAGGTTCCATAACATTCCTGGAAAAGAATGCCTTACGCACTTGAACTTCAAAAGGTTGAGACAAGAATGAATTACGTAGTGGCTAAAATTACCTTCTGACTCTACAATCACAGGTGGTCTAGTAATGGAACAAAAACAATCACGCACCAGGAGGAGCTCCTGATGAGTTCAGATTTTTTTCCAAATGCATCTACACAACGGAAGAGGAAATAAATGTAGGTAAATACAGAAGGGTGGCGCACACGCACATACACAGCTTGGGGGAAATGACAAATATAAAATAGGCCTTTGTTCTCTTGTTTTATTTTTTTTTTAATTTGTTCATTTTAGGCAATTCCAGTTTGAGGACCAAGAATAAGAAAAAAGATATGTCCGTCAACGGAAGCAATGACAGGCAGAAAGTAGATGTTTCTAACTCTCATTTTTGCTTTGATCTTTTATATCAAGAAAGGAAGTATTGACCCTGAAACTGAATGAACAAAAGGAGCTAGCAGGGAAATGAAGGTCAAGTGAGTTAAGGAGACACACAAGGGGTCCCTTTATAAGAGCTCAGCCTTCTGACCTAAACAAATTACATCTCACGACACTGACACTGTTGACCAATGTGACCAAAAGCCAGGCAGTAATCTTCAAGAAATTAGGAAAAGTGGTAGAGGATGGGGACACATGAAACTGTCTTAATTTTTAAAAAGAAAAATAAGGTAGGTTCTGGAAACAACAGACTCATCAACTTGATGTTGACTCACAGCAGAGGAATCCTAAAATAGTTTAATGGAGCAGTTGGTGAGCATTTAGAAAATAAAGCAGCCAGCACCAATTAACCCACCAGCGGTTCAGTAAAAACGAGGCAGGCCAAGCTGATCTCATTTTCTCTTTTGAGAGCATTGTGAGACAGGCGGAGCAAGGAAAGGCAGACATGTCTTGATTTCTGCCTTTGGAAAAGTTCTTCCTGGTGTCCGGTGGATAAAGGGTTAAAAGTGGGCTATATTAATGTACAGCTTTACCAAGATGTAACATATTGAATAACTAAACCCAAAGGAATCGAATGGCAGCTGCCAGATTCCATATTTGGCCCTCCCCTAATGAATATGTATCAACAAGATTAACACTTCAGAAGAAAAGTTTACCAACTCTGTAGGTGACACCAGGCTAGGAAGGAGTGCTCATCTACTGGATGCAGAATCATGAATCCAAAGTATCTCAGCGGGCAGCAATGATGCAATGAAATTTTAAATTCAAGTAAAAAAAAAATTAACTCAACAAAATTCAAATTTTAAAAAAATCTGATAAAAAATTCAAATCCTACACTGTATAAATCCTTGGATACAAATAGAGGGCGGGGTCTCTGGAAACAAGACAAGCGACATAAAGAAATAGACTCTTGAGAAAAGACCAGCACCTATCGAAGAGGAAGAGAGACTTGCCTGACACAGTTCATAGGAAAAGACCTAGAAGTTATGAAGAAAAGTGGGAAATGGAGCGTGAAAACCAGACTACTTCCCTGGGGGATGTGCGTGAGAACTGCCTCCAAATATCTGAAGGGCTGTCCTCTGAACGAGAAATCAGACAAGCTCACATCTCGAGGTGAGACCCCCCCCCCTTCAGAGGTCATGAGGACTAAGACTTGGACTCTGGAAAGACATTTCTTATCATTTTTACTATCCAAAAAGAGGATGAGCTGCTGTTGAGGTAACGAGGTCTCAGCTGCACGACCCAGCCAGACGGAGTGGGTGCAGACACACTGAGGGTTTAAGACATTGGGTGTCCATGCTGAGGAGGACATCATGTAGCTTATTCCCTTACCCGCAATACCCATGACGGAATGAGGAGGGCAGCATGGTGTGGTGGTGAAAATCTCCGCATCAGCGTGCCCACGTTCAAATCCCAGCTCTGCCACTTGCTCGCCATGTGAGCGCAGTGACTTTGAGCAAGTTCACTGACACTCACACACACACACACACACCCGGGAACAGGGGTTCCCCATCCGCAAAATGAGGATGATAGGAGCTTCTACCCCCAGGGGGCTGCTGTGAAGGTGGACTCAATGGCCACACTGCATCCAGAACAGTGTCTGGGGGTAGGCAATGCAAAACAGAGCTTGCAATTGATTCTGCCATCTTTTTTACTGCTCTGAAGATTCCTGGTCACCGAGCCTGGGCACAGTGTGTTATTCACCTGAGCAGACAGGAGAGTATCACTAGAAGATGAGAAACGGGGTGTACGTGCCTAGGGAGCACTATAACATAGAGAATAGCACAGCAGGGAGCAAAAGGGAAAAGCCAGAGACGTCTCTCCTTGTGCAGGGACCCATGTGACTCCTAAAGCCGGCTCCCACTGGCAAACATTTCCATCCCCAGGTCCCCCTTAAGATGCAGGCTTCTGCCCTGTCTCTGTGGTCAGCAAGAGTCTGGGGTCTAGGGAGCAGCCTCGGCAGAGGTTGCCATTGGCTTCTCAGGCTCCTCTCCCAGATCCATGATCCGGATGGCATTTTCCTTCTTGGAAAGCCAGAAGGCAGGGTAGACCGGCTCTGAAAACTTGCACTCAAACTTGTGAATCAGAATCATGGCCTCGGGCTCTACCCCGTAGAAGGAGAGGATCCCCCCCAGAAAGTCCACGTAGATCCCCAGCCTCCGGAACGGGCTGGCTTTGAGCAGGGTTTCCGTGTCGCTGTGCCAGGCTGTGAACTCCTTCCCGTTCCAGTGGAGGCTCCAGGAGAAGTTGTTTCCAGAAATGCAACCGTTGCGCTCCTCCCCTTTCCGGTCGATGCCTTTGCAGGTCAGGCCAACGTAGGTGCCCGCCCCGGAGATCTCCACCTCGAAATAATATCTGTGCAGGTAGAGGCTCTGTTGGGACAGTACCTGCCGCCAATGCACAAACCTGCTGGGGAGGTCCGGGTAGGGATGCTCCCAGGGCGTGGTGTTGGTGACCCTGCGATTGTCCTCCTGCAGCCGGAGATACCTGTGAGCTGTGTCCGGGTCAAAGGAGATGTCACACGCATCTGAGGGGATACGGAAGAATGGCGGGGAGGCAGGTCAGGAACGGACAGCTGCTCTGGACAGAACTCTTTGAACCCAGCCTGCCTCCCAGCTATGAGAAAACATCTCTCTCCTCTTCTCTGTTTACCCCAGGCCTCTGCTCCCCCCAGAAAAGAGGTGGGCGAAAACCAGAGAACAGAGAACACAAGTCACTCACTCAACTTCTTTCCTTTCTGAAGGTCCAATTGCTTGGCATTGACCATGTGATTTGCGGAATGGAATCAAGAAATAAAACCGACTGATTGAGTCATTCATTCATTCGACAAATACGTATTGAAAGCTGGGCACCGTTCTTCTCGGTGTTGGCAAGGGCTTGTGGAAATAGGCACTCATATACCCACACTTGAGTCTTTCTACTTTTTTTTTTTTAATTTGACCAATATATAGATAGCATGGTAAACTCTCAACCATTCCCTCAAACATATTGTCTTCCCAATCCCAGGGAAGAAAAAAATAATGGCACCTCCATGCCCCCCATTGCTGGAGTCACACTAAAGTTATTTTGGAAATTTCTTTGCTCCCATCCTCACCACCCGCCCCCCACGCACACACACACACATACACACAGGTAGTCTCAAGCCCAATAGATCCCACTTCTGTCCCAACCACTGCTTCACCCCCAATCTAGTCCAGAATCATACAATAGGCTCCTTGCTGGCCATGCTGCTCTGTCTTGACCCTCTTCAATCCCTTGTCCACCACAGAGCCGTGGAGCATGTTTCAGGGTGTAGGCTAAGGTAAATCATGTCACCCCAGCTTCAAGACCTTAGATGGTGCCTCTTGGCCACAGAATAAAGCAGTGACCCCTCACCCCAGCCTGCACAGCCAGGCGTGACTGGCCCTTGCCCGTGTCTCCAGCTTTGTCTCCTGCCCTCGGGCCCTTGATGGCCATGGTCCAGCCATCCTGGCCTCAGAAGCATGCAACACTGAGCCCACTTCAGGGCTTTAGCACAGACCAATCCCCCTGTGACATGATCATCACCCTAACCTGAGCCTGGGGGATTCCTACTGATCCTTTCAAATTGTAGCTAAGGGTCCATGTCCTCAAAGAGGCCCTCTGTGACTTTCCACCACTTTCTCTCAGAGCCTTCTGGCTTCTTAAGCGTCATGGTACTGCACCCAATGTGTATAATCTATTTATTTGTTTGTTTCATGCCTGTCTTCCTTCTAATCTATAATCCACATTTCACATGGGACTCGATCCTGGGCTTCTAGCTCAGAGAGGATGTTCAGTGTATATCTCCCCAATGAATTAGCATATTCGAGCCTATTTAAAATCCATTAATATAAAAAATTATTTTAGATTAACCCAGAGTTTTCCAAACTCCTTTGTGTCTAGGTAAGGAACATTCTTTTTTTTTTTTGTAAGGGAAATTCTTAGTAGTCAATGAGACCACTGTAGAAGGGAAAAAAGGACACAACAATCTAAGAAGTTAAAAGGAAAAATGAAGGAGTGCCTGAGTAGCTCAGTCGGTTGACGGTCCGACTCTTGATTTTGGCTCGGGTCATGGCCTCCAGGTAGTGAGATCGAGCCCTGTATCGGGCTCTGTACAGAATCTGCTTGAGATTCTCTCTCTCTCCCTCTCCATCTGCCCCTCCCCCAGATCTCTGTCTCAAAATAAATAAATAAAATCTTAAAAAAAAAAAAAGGAAAAATGAATGTGAACTGAGGACCATAAAAAGGCATATAGGTGCTCACTTTGGCAGCATCTATACTAAAATGGGAATGATACAGAAATTAGCACGGTCCATATACAGAGGTGACATGCAAATTTGTGAAGCATTCCATATTTCTAAGGCAGTCAAAGGTACAAAGTTCCAGCTGTAAGAGAAGTCCAGGGGATGCCATGTACAGCATGGTGACTATAGTGAACAATACCGTATTGCGTATTTGAGAGTTGCTAAGAGAGTAGATCTCAAAAGTTCTCCTCATAAGAAAAAAGAATTTTGTAACTATGTAAGGACATAGGATGCTAACCAAACTTATTGTGGCGATCATTTCACAATATATGCAGATGTCAAATCATTATATTGTACAAAGTTATCTGTCAATAATATCTAAAAAAATGTGTCTTAAAAGGCATATTTTTTAAAGATTTTTTTTTTTTATTTGAGAGAGAGAGAATGAGAGAGAGCACATGAGAGGGGGGAGGGTCAGAGAGAGAAGCAGACTCCCTGCCGAGCAGGGAGCCCGATGCGGGACTCGATCCAGGGACTCCAGGATCATGACCTGAGCCGAAGGCAGTCGCTTAACCAACTGAGCCACCCAGGCGCCCCAAAAGGCATATCTTTTAAAGATTTATTTATTTATTTTAGAGAGAGAGAGTAGGCACGAGGGGATGTAGGGGCAGAGGGAGAGAAAGAGAAGCAGACTCCCCACCAATCAGGGAGCCTGATGAGGGGCTCAATCTCATGATCCTGAGAGATCATGACCTGAGACAAAAATCAAGAGTCAGACGCCTGAACGACTGAGCCACCTAGGCACCCCAAAAAAGGCATATTGTTAAAACTGTCTGCAGCTCTATGTTTCTAAAAGTTCCCAACAATATCAGTAGCAGACTTTTACTGACCAACTCCTTTGGCAATCCTTAGCATCCAGATATTGAACAATAATATTCTCATCTAAGGGGAACCAGGACTTCTTGGCAAGGAGGTGACTCTATGTCTTGGGACAAGAAAATCAGAGTGGGTCTGGAATATTCTGTTGGCACCAGAAAGCAACGATATTTTTCAGAATTTCAAAGGCAGAATGTCAATGTCTAAAGGAGAAAGAGTGGTGGGGGTGCCTGGGGAGCTCAGTCGGTTCCAAGCGGCCGACTTGTTTTTGGCTCAGGTCATGATCTCAGGGTCCTGGAATTGGCCACACATCAGGCTCCGTGCTCAGCAGGAAGTCTGCTTAGGACTCTCTCTCTCCCTCGCTTTCTGCCCCTTCCTCCGCTCTGTCTCTAAAATAAATACATAAATCTAAGTAAAAAAAAAAAAAAGCTTTAAAGGAGAAAGAGAGGCTCCCACGGGTTAAATCGGCAATTTGAGCCATACGACTTTGACAGGTCAAACAATCGGATTCTAAGTTGTTTTTTTTTTTTTAATTTGACAGAGAGAGACACAGTGAGAGAGGGAACACAAGCAGGGGGAGTGGGAGAGGGAGAAGCAGGCCTCCTGCTGAGCAGGGAGCCCGATGCAGGGCTCGATCCCAGGACCCCTGGACCATGACCTGAGCCGAAGGCAGACGCTCAACGATTGAGCCACCGAGGCGCCCCAAACAATCTGATTCTATAAAAAGCTCAAAGTTCATAACAATACCCAAAGAGACAAAGTTAATATCAGGTATGAAAAAAGACCTCTGTGATGCCAAAGAAGATAGGTTATAATAGAATATATTTCATTTTTATCTTAATGTCAAGAATAAAGGGTGTTTGGTTTCTTGTATTAATCTGTTTATAAAAATACAAATGTGCTTCTGTCAGGAAGCAGGAAAGAATAAATAAAGGAAACTATGTGTAATTGAAGAGGTCCTGAGAAAAAGTAGGAGCTGGGGCAAAAACAGGAAACAGTCCTCGGAACCCGAGGCTCCACGTAAAAACTGGAGAAAAAGGGGGTCCAGCCGTTAGCCAACCAGTGGTCACCCCCAGAAAATAAGCAGTAACAGGATTCAACGGCATGTTCCAAAAAGATTAATCCGCCAAATGTCATAAAAATGAGCCTCAACTGCATAGATGCAGTCCTGCCTCATCCTAGAAGATGAAAGCATGAGGACTGGTTATGTACTGATCGGAAACACGGTGTTTTAAAACATGCTAACAGACCAGGTCAGTACCACATAATGACAGGACAACAGGTTACATAATTCTGGCCAAGCCAGACTTAAAAGGAAGTCATCTGGTAACTAGCCAGGAGCTCCCAAGTGCCAAACTCATGAAAGACAGACTAAGGGACTGGACCCAGACGGGGGAGACTAAGGAGGCAGGGAAACATCTGTGATCTTGGATCAGACTTGGGGCCAGAAAAAGGACATTGGTTGGCACGCTTGGTGAAACACTGGGTAATTCTATAGATGAGTTAATAGCAATGAAGGGATGTTCATTTCCTGGTTTTGGACGATGTACCGTAGTTATATGAAGTGTTAGCGTTCGAACAAGTCAGATGAAAGGTATACAAGAATTCTGTCCCTATTTTTTCAATGTCTTTGTAAGTTTGAAATTGTCTCAAACATGAAAGGTAAAAAAAAAAAAAAAAAAAAAATTAAATATCCCATTTAGGGAGAGACCTAAGGTTGCAAGAGCCTGAAACTTACAGGAAAGACGGTGATCTTGTTCCAGTGAGCATTACGCTGACATCAGTTAAGTGGGTAAAGGAAGCTGTTTGCAACTTACATTGGAGGAACTGTTGCCTGGTGCTGGGCTCAGGTTTTGAGGTCCAATACTTGCGCTCGACAACAGTAGACACTTGAGTGCTGATATCATACTCCTCTAGAAAATCAGAGAGTTACAAATGCATACCTGTCCAGGTGGTCAGGAGAACCTAAGAAGCAGGACTTTCTAGCCACTCTTCCCTGGTCTCCCTGGGGGAAGAAAGGGCTGGACTCTATAGTCACATCAGAGAGAATCATGCTCAATGCATTTCTCCATGGGTGAAACAAAATACGCTGGAGAACGATCCCAAACTGACTTGGATCTCACTTCAAAGTACAGGCATTAGCAACCTCGGAAACTAGTCAGAGAAATTCGAGCCAACGGCGGGATGTAACTAACTCAACTTCTCTGGGTCTCAATCATGAAATCAAATCATCAAGGTAAGTGTCCATTAGCCGCCGGCCTGGCCAAAGGATGGCTTTGAAGATGAGCCATTCCCCCTGATTTCGCCCTCCCTCCCTTAGCTCTTTCACACACTGAGAAACACACATTCCATAGCCCATGGCCCAGACAGTTTTCCTCACCTTCCTTGGAGAAATCCTGGAGCTTCTCCTTGTAGTTCTGCAGCAACTGGATTAAGTGCACCGTGGAGTCTGTGATGACCCTGCGGACGCCCAAGAGCTTGTCCTTGAGTCCGATGTAAACACTAGGGAAGGCACTGTCCTCAGTGTTCTTAAACTTGCAGTACTCCTACAGGAAAGGAAACATGGCAGAACTTGCCTTCATTTCTGAATTTCTGAAACTGGACTACTCTCATTACCACACTGCCTGCATCTGTAAAATGGGTTAATGGTAATGTGCCCTTCACAAAGCAAGCATATGTAACATGACTGGCTCAAGACCCAGCAACACAGAAAGTATTTTTTTTTTTTTTTTTTTTTTTTTACAGTGGGCTTTTAAAAATCAAGAGACACAGGTGCCTGGTGGCTCAGTTGTTGAAGCGACTGCCTTCGGCTCAGGTCATGATCCTGGAGTCCCGGGATCGACTCCTGCATCGGGCTCCCTGCTCAGCGGGGAGTCTGCTTCTCCCTCTGACTCTCCCCCTCTCATGCTCTCTCTCTATCACTATCTCCCTCAATAAATAAATAAAAATCTTTAAAAAAAATAAAAATCAAGAGACACATACAAAAAATAAACATAAAAAAATAAAAATAGGGTGCCTGGGTGGCTCAGTCGTTAAGCATCTGCCCTTCGGCTCAGGTCATGATCCCAGGGTCCTGGGATCGAGCCCCACATCGGGCTCCCTGCTCAGCCGGAAGCCTGCTTCTCCCTCTCCCACTCCCCCTGCTTGTGTTCCCTCTCTCGCTGTCTCTCTCTGTTGAAAAATAAATAAAATCTTTAAAAAATAAAAATCAAGAGACACACACACACAGAAATTAAAATTTAAAAATCAAAATCAAAATCAAGAGACCCAAGAACAAGAACACATTGTATGCCAACAGTCCAAATAGCAACAGTAACATTCCTGCTACTTTCATTCCTTCAGGACTTTTTTTTCTTTTTTAGAGTTTTTCAGAAAGATTTTATTTATGTCTTTGAAAGAGAGAGAGAGCATGAGAGGGGGAAGAGGAAGAGGGAGAGGTGGAAGCAGACTCCCTGCTGAGCAGGGCCCCCCCCCCCAACATAGGGCCCTATCCCAGGACCCTGGGATCACACTCTGAGTAGAAGGCAGGCACTTAACCGACCGAGCCACCCGGGCACCCCTCTTTTTTAGAATTTAAACACAAGTCACATTATAGAAGGGAGGAGTGGAGGAACAGGTACAGCACTAGGAAGACCCATGAACAGATCCTCAGACAAGAATGCTGCCTTTGCCAATTGTTACACTGTGCTTTAGAGTTTGAAAAGTGCTTTCAGGTAGATAAGCATATGAAGTTGCTGAAGCTTCAAAACAAGGCAGTGATCAGGAAAGGTTGCTTTCAGATGCAACACAGTGTCAAAGCCCAAGCATTGCAGGGCAGACTGGATAGAGCCGAAAACTTAGCAATGGAAAGAAAACTGTACCAAAATGGTTAGGCAATTTAATGGAAGAGAAGAAAAGGGCCAACCCAGGGAGTTGATAGAAAGATAAACATTTTAACACTGCATATAGATTTAGCGCCATACCTGAGAAAAGTGATATTTTAAATCAGTGGGGGGGAAAATTGGTTATTCAATACGTGTTGTCATTTCAACTGGCTCACGATTTGGAGAAGAAGTTATCTTTCTATGTGAATAAGTTATCTTATAGAAAAATACGTTTTAGGGCGCCTGGGTGGCTCAGTTGGTTAAGCGACTGCCTTTGGCTCAGGTCATGATCCTGGAGTCCCAGGATCGAGTCCCCCATCGGGCTCCCTGCTCAGCGGGGAGTCTGCTTCTCCCTCTCCCGCTCCCCCCTCTTGTGCTCTCTCACTCTCTCAAATAAATAAATTAAATTTAAAAAAAAAAAGAAAAAGAAGTTTTATACATATTAAAGTTTTTAAGTTAAAGTCCTAAAAGGAGAAAAGAAAAAAGAAAAATTATATATGTCCTCTTTGGGGAAACTCATGATGTGGGAAGCCAAGTATTTGTTCACATTTTCTTTGTTTTGATATTGAAAAGCAAGGGAACTGACAGAAAGAGGGACATTCTTGTATTTTTGTCTGTCATTCTCTGCCTGCTTCTTTCTCTCATTAAAGGGTAACTATGGTTGTTTTGGGTGGTAGGAGTATGGATGATAGTTTTCCTTCATCTTTCCCTGTGTTTTTCAAGTCTTTTTTCATAATGAACATTTATGTTTGTTGTAACTAGAGGGGAACTTTTTCAAAGGTGCAAACAAAAAAAAAATTATTTGTATTTAGGGATATTAGAGCTGAAGGAGCCTTGAAAGTTATTGACTCTGGGGGTGCCCGGGTGGCTCGGTCAGCTAAGTGTCTGCCTTTGGTTCAGGTCATGATCCTGGGGTCCTGGATCAAGCCCTGCGTGTTGGGCACCCTGTTCAGTGGGGAGCCTGCGTCCTCTCCCTCTGCGCCCTCCCACCCCCGCTCATGCTATCTCTCTCTCTCTCAAATAAATAAACAATCTTTAAAAGAAAGAAGGAAGGAAGGAAGGAAAGAAGGAAAGAAAGAAAGAAAGCTATTGACTCCGACCTGATTGTCTGATAAATGAGGAATCTGAGACCCAGAAAGTTTAAGTGACTTGGTTAATAACTACCCAGCTATCTAGTGACAGATCTGGGATGACAGGATTTACACCCGATCCCTGCAAGATTACATATCCTTCAGATCTGGCCCTACTGGCAATGTGGCTTAGTGTATAAGGACTTGCCCTGTAATGAAAGGTCTCTGCCGCGGGGCCTTCTCCATCAACCAGCTACACACGGTCCTCTCTGAAAGGCAAGAGGTCTCCAGCCTCACCCCTGCCAGGCACACTGACCTCAGCTCCTCACTCCCCCACCTGAAACCCTCCACCTGCATCCATCTTTGCTTCCTCACCTCCATCCCTAAGTGCCCAGCAGCCCACGCCCCATCCTGGTGAAAGCGCCTTATTCCCCAAGTCAGTTGTGCTCTCTGAAACCTCTCTAGCTGTGCACAGGCTATTCTCTCTCTTTGGACATGACTTACCTCCCATAACCTGGTTCCAACCTCCCACTCTGGGAAGTCTGGCCTTCCCCTCCGGGGTATTCCTGTACTCTGCTAAAACCTGCTTCTGTCTGTTCCCGTGGCTCCCCGTGCACCCCATTTATCAAAGAGCAGTTCCATTCCCACATTCCCCACATTTGCCACAGGCCTAGCCCAGTGAGGGTGCTCCCTGACTCCTGGCCTGGATGCCTCTGCTTCTGCCCCTGCACTCCCCCCTCCCCACTACCCACCCCCGCCCCCTCACCTCCAGGAACAGGACAGTGTTGCTGAGGGCAGCAATCCTCTCCAGCTCATGCTTGCTCTTCTCCATCTGTGCGCTCCTATGCTCCAAGTGCGTCCTGATGCTGTTGGCCTGGCTCAGAGCGGCTTGCTCCTTCTCCTCCAAGAAGAGCATCACATCGGCCTGGGCCTTCCTCATGGCAGCAAACAGCTCCCCAAACTGCTCCTCGGCCACCACCTTCACCTCTGACACGGACAGCTGGTGAGGGAGGGGGCAGTGAAGAAAAGGTTAGCAAGGCATGCAATGTTTTCTCCCTCTCCCTCTGCGGGAGCTCAGCACACAGGACTGTAAACCGGAGGAACCCGTAAGTTAGGAAGCAATTTTCTATCATAAAAGGAAAATTTTGGGGCGCCTGGGTGGCTCAGTTAAGCATCTGCCTTCGGCTCAGGTCATGATCTCAGGGTCCTGGGACGGAGCTCTGCATCGCATGGCATCGGGTTCCCTGCTCAGCGGGGAGTCTGTTTCTCCCTCCCTGAATGCCCCTCCTCCCACCCGTGCCCTCCCTCCCCCACCCTTCTCTCTCAAATAGATAAATAAAAAAATAAATATAAATAATACATAAATAAAATCTAAAAGGAAGATTTTATTCTCATATGAACCCTGGGATCCTGAAAAAACAAAAAAAAAAGGGATTTACTCTCCAGGGCGAATTTACTTAGTTGCCATCACCAACTTCATCTCTCATACATTTCTGAGACCACTGGCAGCTCTGACAGTCCGGGGTTACGATTCAAGTGTCTGAAATCAATTCTCCCACCAGGGAAATGCATGTACTCAGTACACTCGATAGCTATCTTTCTTGCGGGACATTAATAATTTGGCTTCTTTGCACAAATTGGTAGCATGAATTCGCTTTCTCGGCATTTTATTACATCAGGTTAAACTGCCCACCGAGTCCATCAGAACTGAAAGTTACCTAAATACGGTGTCTCTGCCAGGCACAAAATGTTTTAGGGTGTGGGTAGGTGGCCATGGCCCCTGAGCGTGGCAGGACCCACAGACCTGTGCAGGAGGAATGTGTTGTCCAAATAAAATAGAAAGCAAAGTCCGGGTGATAAACCCTAACGGTTTACATGATGCCATTTTATGCATGTGCACGTGTACTTTGCCCTTTCACAGGACGAACATCCTTTTTTTTTTTCTTTTTTTTAAAGATTTTTATTTATTTGAGAGAGAGAATGAGAGAGAGAGAGAGAGCACATGAGAGGGGGGAGGGTCAGAGGGAGAAGCAGACTCCCCGCCGAGCAGGGAGCCCGATGCGGGACTCGATCCAGGGACTCCAGGATCATGACCTGAGCCGAAGGCAGTCGCTTAACCAACTGAGCCACCCAGGCGCCCAGGACGAACATCCTTTATACCTGCCGTCAGTCAATATCATGTTTATAACATCAATCCAAGTGTAAATGCTTTTCCTCTGTCCTTTGGTAGTCCTTAAGGACCGGTGCTGACAGTTCCCTCGGATACTTCCAGTTTAAACTTCATCTAACCATCTTGGACACACTTTCCCTTGCTCACACTCCCTTCACCTCATCCCACAGCCCAGAGTTTGTTCTCTGCCTGCCTCAGTCTCCCCCACTGTCGCCACCCACACCGATCCCATCTGAGAGCAATCCGAGCAACCCCTCCAGATGCTGTTTTCTGATCCTCCTTCCAAGAGCAAGGGCTAGCCCTGGGCATCCACAAGGAGCCCAAATACCAGACACCTCAGAGGCTGAGGCTGCTAGGGCACCTCTGTCCCCTGGCAGGAAAGATGGGGAGGGAAGGAAGAGAATAAGGGGGGCCTGGAAAGGAAAGGACTCAGAAAGGATGGCACTCTGGGCCCAGGGCATGTGAAAGCCTTAAGGTTTAGAGGGAGATAGGAAGAAATGATGACTCCAGGTAGCAGGACCTTTGCTTGGCTGCTCAGCCAGGGCCCCAGAATGCAAGCCCACAAGAATGGTGGTGGTCCATGGTGGATGAATGGATGGTTGGATGGAAAAATGGATGGATAGATGAATGGATGGAAGGAAGGAAGGAAGGAAGGAAGGATGAATGAATGGTTGGGAAGAATCATTCATGGTATGCAAAGATGCTCCTGCTGACTCATTACCATAACTTAGGTGTTTTGCATTCTTTTTTTGGTGATGGTTTGGCTTTCCACTAATGAGAAGTATTTGTGGAACTGTTTGGGTCTACTTAGAGTTTATATGGAAAGTGGCCATAAACCAGAGAGACTAAAACCAAGTAGCATGGCACACCAGTGGCTTTATCAAGTTACCATCCACTAATCGAGCAGTTCTCCACTCTTTTCTCTGGCTGCCAGGACACAGGGCTGGTGACACTCACACGCAAAACACCCTCCTATGAGAGGAGAAGCCCAAACTCTGCATGATTCCTAGATTTCTAGCTAGATGCCCCCTCTACTCCTCCCCACATGCCTTTTCCCTGGCCAAAAAAGCATATGCAAAGTGGTGGCCCAGTCTTTGATCTGCTGGCAAAGGAGAAAGGAGTGGGGGAAACAAAGCAAGGGGCATCTTTACTGGGGGCAGGGAGATGGGTAGAGACTCTCTACATTGTCATTTTCATGCCAACTGCCCCATCACCTGTTGGCTTCTGTGAGGATGGCTCAGCTGAACAGAACTGGAAATAGGGCGCCTGGGTGGCTCAGTTGGTTAAGCAACTGCCTTCGGCTCAGGTCATGATCCTGGAGTCCCGGGATCGAGTCCCGCATCAGGCTCCCTGCTCGGCGGGGAGTCTGCTTCTCCCTCTGACCCTCCCCCCCTCATGTGCTCTCTCTCTCTCAGTCTCTCTCTCTCAAATAAATAAATAAATAAATCTTTAAAAAAAAAAAAAAAAAAAGAACTGGAAATGAGCTGGTAATGGGGACTAAGTAAGAAGGAGGTGGGAGAAATTGCCCAAATTCCTCAGGCCCAGACCCAGAAGAGCCCATGGAGAACAGCACCTGTCATGTAAGTGCCCAACATTACATTTGTCATCCCTGACGCATCCATTTTCAAAGACATCCATCCGGAATAAACATATTGGCAGCTGTGTGACACAGCTCGGAGCAACACAATCAGATAAGGAATCGGGCCACCCCCACCCAGGAAGCTCCCTCTTTCAGAATTCCCTGGGGGATCTAGATATATGACCCCTGGAGTGACCCTGCTTCTTCCCGAGCCCGAATTCCTGCTCTTATGCTTTAAATAAGCCAACTAAGAATGTGCCCATAAAAACCTAGACACCCACCTTCAACCCCAATAAAGGCAGACCCCAGGTCTGTACTTTCTCCCTCCCTCTCTATCTGCGACCTTGCGATGTGGCTGCGGCCCTCGGGCAGAGTTCTGTGCCCTCCAGGACCTTTGAGTAATAAATCTTGTTCTTCAAAATGCCCTGAGAGTTTCCTGCTGACATGGGTCCTGCAATCACAAGTTTCTCATAGAAGCACAATACCATGAGGCTGAGAAGCAGGAGTCTAAAGAGGGACTTCAGGGTCCACATCCCTTCTCTTCCACCAAGGTCCTCAAGAGGAAGGGTGATGGAAGGACGCTTCAACTGATGTTGGTGGGTTGACTCTTCCACTGTCAAATGTGACCTCTCGTTCCTAAACTGTTTCATGGAGAAATACTTGCTCCTTGCATGTAAATGCAATAAGCAAAGGATATTATTCCTCCCCAAATAATGACAAATAAAGACTAAAGAGGTGAGGGGCCACAAGGATATCAAGGTATCGAAGTTAATGGTTTAAAGAGATTGAGGATGGTGCACATGCCTGTAAATGTCCTGAGTTTCTTAGGTTGAGGGAGCAACGATCCCAAGTTCCTGTTTCATCAATCTGGGGGCCCCAGACAAGTCTTGTCATCTCTCTGTGTGTTCATGTCCCTTGTACATGTTGGCTATTGTGATAACTACCTCCCCAAGTTACCACACAATTATGAGAAAAGCTGAATAGGGATCCGAGTGTTTGAAAAATAAAGGGCTAGAAAAGAGGTAGGAGGTTCCATGTGGTTCTCTAGATTATCTTGAGCCTGGAAATGAACAATCTCTGAAGGTTTACAAGACTTTGAGGGGACAACTATTTTTCTTCTTTCCGTAAGATGATGTGGGTGCAAAAGACGTGTTGATCTTTCACACTTAGGTAGTTGTAAACACTGAGAAGGAGGAAATTAAGTTGAAATGGATATATGTATCAGATATGGATGGATGGATGGACGGACGGATGGATGGATGGACGGACAGACAGACGGATGGATGGATGGATGGAAGGATGGATGGGTGGAAGAATGGATGGATGGAAGAATGGATGGATGGATGGGTGGATGGATGGATGGATGGATGGATGGATGGATGGATGGATGGAAGGAAAGATGGATGGATGAATGGTTGGGAAGAATCATTCATGGTATGCAAAGATGCTCCTGCTGACTCACTACCATAGCTTAGGTGTTTTGCATTCTTTTTCTGGTGATGGTTTGGCTTTCCACTAATGAGAAGTATTTGTGGAACTGTTTGGGTCTACTTAGAGTTTATATGGAAAGTGGCCATAAACCAGAGAGACTAAAACCAAGTAGCATGGCACACCAGTGGCTTTATCAAGTTACCATCCACTAATCGAGCAGTTCTCCACTCTTTTCTCTGGCTGCCAGGACACAGGGCTGGTGACACTCACACGCAAAACACCCTCCTATGAGAGGAGAAGCCCAAACTCTGCATGATTCCTAGATTTCTAGCTAGATGTCCCCTCTACTCCCCCACACATGCCTTTTCCCTGGCCAAAAGAGCATATGCAAATGTAAAAACAAGAATGCTGCTATTACAGGGCAGATCTTGCTCCTACTCTGTATCATTAAAAAGTAAATCACTTGCCATTTTCATAGTAAAATTTCATAGCAAGACCTGACAGCGATGTGAGGGTTAGGGTTAGGCTCATATCTCTACCTACAATTCTCATTTGCCAAGAAACCCCAAGGAGCCCATGGACACGGAGGCTGGGCCTGTGACCCCACGTCCCACAACCCCAGATGGGCCTGGCTGAGCCTGCAGCAGCAGCTCAGGTGTGCTGGTACACGGCAGGTGACCCAGAGCAGACTTACCAAAACGGATTTGTGATTGGCTTGGAGCCTGGCGATGGCGTTTTCATTCAACCTGAGTTTCCGCTCCAGCTCTAACTGGGTGTCCCGAAGCTCAGCCTAAGAAGAGGGAAGAATGGCATTAAGGAGTGCGCACAGAATGTCCCCAGGAGTGATGGCGCTATCCGCTCCTCTTGCACGGAAAGGAGAATTTGACCTTGGGAGCTGCCTCAGAAGCCACCTGGAGGGCCCTAAATGGACACAAAGGGTCAGTTGTGTGCCAACACCTCCTGGGGCTGAACTCAGCATGATCGGCTGAATATACCCTGAGTTGTGCGGCTCTGGTCATCCCTTCCAGCATTTAGATGGATTACCTCCTATCACCCTGACCACACCCATGTTAGCTAAGTACCGTTATCCCCATTTCACAGATGATACAATCAAGCCACCTAATCAAGGTCACACAGTTCAACAGTGGAGTCCAACCCAGCCAGTCTGCCCCCAAAATAACCTAACAAGCTGGAGCCAAGGGCGGGGACCCCAGCTTTTCTACTTAGCAGCTGATCCTTTGGAAAAATCTACTTAACGTCTCCAGACTTCCATTTTTTCACCTGTGAAATGGGGATAACTAAAGCACCCAACCCATGGGGTTTTTGTGAGGATTGAATGAGATAGCGTGTGTTAATGCAAACTTGCTCCAGAGGCTGGAACACTGTGTGTGCTCTACCAACATCAGCCATCATGGGGGCCCTTCTTCTTGGTTACTGCTACTGATGAGGGAGCAGAAGGCTAGCTGAAGACAAAGCATAAGCTGACACCCTGCAACCTCCCCCCCACCCCCCACTCCTAGGTGGGACCTGTGTGACATTCTTCCAGGGATCTCCCAACTATCTTAATATTAATACCTTGCTAGAGGGGAAAACGACCTTGACAATAGTGAGGGCTCAGGTATCTTGCAGGCCGGTCCTCTTTAGCACATGAAAGTTCTTTTGAAACCTCTCTTTTACTTACTTCCCCCCAACTCCCAAGTATATCATCACCACTCCTCAAGATCCCAGGGCAGCAGCTCTTTCTGCCCACGGGTCCTGTCCCCGTGCTTTAGTAAACCACCATTTTTGCACCAAAGACGTCTCAAGAATTCTTCCTTGGTCGTCGGCTCCGAACCTCACCCCATCGAAGCTCACCTATATTCCAAAACCACATTACTACCATGGCTGCTTTGCATCACACGCTCACGACTCCCGGAGGCAGGCAGAGTTGGCCCTCCAGGCCTGGGCAAGTGCCTGTCTGAGAACCTCAGGTTTGCCTGCTCTGACCCCACTACCTTCTCCACCCTTCCCTTTGGAGACTCCCTAAGCACCTTCTGCCAAGAAGTGTGCCAAGGCATGAGGCCTAAACCTTTGCAGCCTTCAAAGGCCCTCCAAGGGCATGAGTCAGCAAAAAAAGAAAAGAATAGCTCTAAAGGCTTTCAATAGGTCATATCAGCATCGGAAGCTGCATGTTTGCACCCTGAGCGAACTCGGAGGGCATCAGTGGTCTCTGCTTTTTCCCACCGAAGCCTAGGGGGAATTCCAGGCCCCCTGGTGAGGGTAGCCCAGGTGGGTGGCTCACTCTGCAGAAGGCAGGTAACTTCTTAGTTTTGTTTTGTTTGGCTCAGGATCTGGGGTGCTGACTTGGAGCTGAGGGAGCTCTGTGACCCCCACCCCCACCCCTGAAACCTGTTTGGGAGTAAGGGGAGGGTCTGGCCTATTTGGGGGCAGTCGTGGAAGGGGGGAAGGAAAAGGGGGAAATGTGAAGTGCTTGTTTAAAGGTGGTGAAGGGCACAACCGAACCCACCCTGGCAAGGGTCACGGGCAGCCCCAGCAGGATCCAGGGCCATGGGGAGACTCCCAGGGAGTAGCCAGGGAGGGGGCACTTTCCCTTGCCTGTAGATTGCCATAAAAGGAGAAAAGGACTCCTGAGTACCTAATGGGGACCTCTCTGAGTGAGTCACCCCAAAGGAAGGCACTCCGGATTACTACAAGAGGTGGGGCCGCTTTGGGACACCTGTATCTCCAGTTATTCCTGTTCCTAGAAGATGACAGGATGACTCGGGCTCTGGCTTTAAGGTTTCCCAAGATACTGACTATACACATGTCTCAGGCCAGGGTGGACTCAGCACAAAAGCAGGAGAGTGGTGCCAATGAAGGCAAACAGCCCTGTATTGAAGGGCACGGTTAACTGCTCCCCAGAGACCCGTGAATACCTGCGGCTTGCAGAAACTTGGCTCCTGCTCTACAAGAAGACTGTGTCCCCAGGATGCTTCCAGTCCCGAATCTTCTGGAACTGAGGCTAAGGCTGAATGTAGTGTGACCCATGATCTAAGATAGATCTTCCCACCTCCAAGAACCCTGCCCTGCCCTCACTCCTGCTGACAATTCCCTCCTGGACCATGTAGTTCTGTTGCCTCAGCCCTTGGGCACTCCAGGGAGCCATGGAACTTGCCTTGGCTTCCTCATTCAAGTCCAAGCTCCCTGAGGACAGACAGTGTGGTCTTACACTGAGCCCATAGGAAGGAATCGATGATGTCTGATAAGCTGGAGGAAGAACAGGAAAAGAGCCACGTGCACTTCCAGGGTCAGAACAAACAAGGAAATGGCCAAAGGAGTCCAAGTTTTATCAGGCACTGGATGCGTGCAAGCACGTACACAGCAAGGCCAGCTAATCTGAAAAGCAAAGAGGCCTTAGGAAGCTGACCTGGGGCAGAGAGAAGTCCCCATCAGGAAGAGCCGGGATCTGGTAGACCAGCAGGATAGAACATGTATCAAAGAACACCCACTTCCCAAAATCCAGAGGTTCTGCCCACTGGCATAGCTAGAGACCAGAGAAGCTTCAGGAGGGGCTCCCTTGGTTAACTGAGAAGTAAGTGGCTCTGTGGATCTGATGCAGGATCTCAGCTGCTTTGTGTCCTTGTGACTGACACTGCCATTTACATTTTCCTACAACAACATGCCTGCTTGAGTCATTAGCCCTTCGGTGAGTCACTCCAGTAGGGTGGGGCTAGCTGACGGGGATATGAGGCTTCTGGAGCCTTCATTATGCCTAGTAAAACTTTCACAATAATCCTGATGGCATCTGCAGTCTCATCGAGTCACCGTGTCTTCTGGGCTGGTCTCTTGGGCTCCTTGCAAGAAATCTTTTGGCTCCTAAGATTTGGCAGAGCCACCTAGAGTGTGGCTGCACTTACGAAGGAAACTTGCTCTCTGAGCTGAAAACAAGGACACAGGAAAGAAATGGCGGAGAGCTCTCTTAGGCAGAGCAGAAGGGCGGAGGTTTTGAACTGGGGTCCTCACCAAAAATCTGGGGTGTGGGGCTGTTGGATTGTACCTGTGGCCATGATTGCTTTTCAACACCAAAAATAGCTCTGGAGCCCCTTACCCAGTTTTATGTTTTAGCTTACACAGCTCTCCCCGAGGATGCCTGAATTTAGGGTTCCATATATGCTCTGCTCAACTCTTCCTGCTCAGAATTACAATTACCCTAACCCTCTGCCATGCAGCAGTTTACTCTGTGTTTAAAATCCATATTGTATCCATGCCAGTCTTAGTAGCTCTACTATATGTGTGGCGGGATTTTGGTACCAAAAAAAAAAGTAATGTTATAATTTTGTGATCTTAGGGTCCTTCACCCATGTTCCCCGTGTAGGGTGGCTTTCCAAAAGCTTCCATTCTTCACCCCATGACTTAGTTGTCTGTTGGAGTTTGGCAAAATGTGAAGATAAAAAGAATTGCCACCCCATAGTAGAGTTATCTGAGGAATGAGAGTTACCTGAATGAGAAAATCCACAGAAAGCATTTGGCACAGGGCAATGCTCAAGGGGGACGATTTTGCTCAACTCTGTCGAACTTTTCCCTTTGACCTGTCCATCTGTTGATACAGAGCCTCTCCATGGTTACGGAAGAGCATTATACTGAGCCTCATCCTGGTTATGAGTGGCAGAGAATTGCTTTCCTGACAGGACATTTCCCTGATGCCGGAAACACTGGAAAAAGTTGACAAGTGGCTCCCTGCGCTGGGAATGGTGACTCATTGGCATCTGGAATACAGAGATTTCCAGAACAATGGCCACTAACACTGGATAAAATCTGTGCCTAAGAAAGGACATGGAGGAGGGGCCCTGGCAATTAAGTGCCCTTCCCAGAAAGTCCTTCCCTTTGCTGCCCAGGAACCTTGGACAGAGGACATTGGATACAAGGCTCCCGCCCTGTGCAGTGCAAATAGGGAGCTGCTGACGGGATGAACATAAGGAATGTGGGACAGAAGTCAACAGCAATGCCCTACTGAGGAGAAAAAAAAAAAAAATGCTCCTGAAAAGTCAAAGTATGAGAAACAAAGAATACAAAGGAGCTAAATCCATTCCCAAGAACTTCCCCATGCTCTCTCTGCTTTAGGGCAAAGAAAAGCTGGTTGTTCTAGAAACAGTTTCCCTATCTAATGGGAATAAAATTACAGGCTCTGAGCATGGTGTTTCTTAGTCCCTCCTGGTACCTCTATCTGATGAGGAACTTCTATTTTCCCGAAGTTAAGCCGTCCTTGGACATTGTACCTGGAGGTAAGTTTTCAATTCTAGGCTACCTCAGCATTTTTTTCCAAGCTCTCAGATTTCACTCTAGAGGAGCACTTGCTACTGATCTCCCGCTAGGGGTAAAGGGGAAAAAGAGAAATTGGGCAAAAGGTTTGACTTTTTTCTCTTGAGTTTCTGCCAAGGCTTCCACTTCATTAATTGCCACACAGATCCAGCCAGAAGGAGACGTCACTGCCCTAAGCCCCAGAAATCTTGCACCCCACACCCCAACACGCATCCGTCACCTAAAGCGGAGTGACAGATAGGAAGCTAGCAAGAATGAGGTGAGACAGGCACACACAGAGTAAGGATAGGGACAGCCGGATACAGGTGGGAGCAGAGTGACCCACTTCAGTTTCTAAAGCCAAGTGCAATAGATATTTACCCTGGACGGACAGCCAAGTGCTAAGGCTAAAGTGCTTGTCAGGACAGTGAAGTCGGGGAGCCTCAGGAGCTGCGGGGGTGGTCCAGCCTCTCCCTGGGCATGCCATCTCCGTCCCTCCCTCTCCTGGAAGGACCCCAGCACTCACCTCCTTGTCCCTGCGGGCAGCATCCAAGGAGACCGAGGCGTGGCCCTTGTGCTCGTCCTGGCCACACTCCTCGCAGATGCACTGCCGGTCGGGGCGGCAGAAGGCGACCAGGGGGCTGTGGTGGGCAGGGCAGGTGCGCAGGTCCCGGTCCTTCACAGGCTCGGTCAGCTGGTGGCTGTGCAGTTTGCTGTTCTCCTGGTGAGGCCGCAGGTGCTCCTCACAGTAATTCACCATGCAGGTCAGGCAGGACTTCACCGCCTTCACCCTGCCAGTCCCGAGGCAGAAATCACACAGGATCTCTGCCTCCCCCTCTACGTCAGGACCCCCCTGCCCTGCAGAGCCGCTGCCCTGTCCCTCTGTCTCCTCCTGAGAGCTCCCCCGGGAGCCCACGTCCTCTTCTTCAACCGGGCTGCTCGACCCAGAGTCTGGGCTGACAGTGGCCAGAGGGTGAGCGGCGATCCCGGGCGGTGGCCCTGGAGCCATCAGATCCAACTCAGCCATCTGGAAGCCTGGCGCCCGAGCCGTCCTTCCTCTGCCCCTTGGCCCCGGATCTTGTGCGGCCCAAGCCAGGCTAGAAAACCACGCCTAAATGATTGCAGCTGTCACGGGAGTTAACTGTTTCCGCCCTCCCTCCCGGAGGAAGCTCAGTTAATCATTACTCAGTTAATCATTTCTTGGATGGCCGCCGACTACCGTGATCACAAGGCAGCTAGGTTCCTCGGGCTGAGGACAGCTGCTCACAACGTCTCCCCAGGGGCTCAGGCCCCTCCTCGGGTCCAGCCCCGAAACTTCTATTCCTGCGTGAAATCATTCACCCCGTAGGCTGAGCCGAAGACCACGTGGTTCGGTGGCTGCTCTGGAAAGAATTCGAGATTCCCGAGGTCTGCCTTAAAAAGCCTGCGTTGCTTTATGGGGCTTCACGGGCTACATTTTTTTTTTTGCCTTTTTTATTTATTTTTTATTTTTTATTTTTTATTTTTTTTATTTATTTGACAGAGAGAGACACAGCGAAAGAGGGAACACAAGCAGGGGGAGAGGGAGAGGGAGAAGCAGACTCCCAGCTGAGCAGGGAGCCCGATGCGGGGCTCGATCCCAGGACTTTGGGATCATGACCTGAGCCAAAGGCAGATGCTTAACGACTGAGCCACCCAGGCGCCCTTTTTTTGCCTTTTTTAAAGGGATCTAAAATGTAAGGACTTCAGCGATAGGGCAGCCCTTCGTCCCTTCCCATCTCGTAGAACTGGACATGAGGCCATCTAGGAAAAGGAGGATACATGCCCCTGACCCTGACCTTGTCCATACCACCTTCTTGCAAATGGGTGTTCAGGGGGATCAGAGGATCAGGGAAGAACCTGTCTCCTTCCACATAAAAGCTCCATTCAGGGGTGCCTGGGAGGCTCAGATAGTTAAGCGTCTGCCTTCGGCTCCGGTCATAATCCCAGGGCCCTGGGATCGAGTCCCGCATGGGGCTCCTTGCTCAGCGGGGAGCAGCCTGCTTCTCCCTCTGCCTCTCTCTCTCTGTCTCTTATGAATAAATTAATGGGGGCGCCTGGGTGGCTCAGTTGGTTAAGCGACTGCCTTCAGCTCAGGTCATGATCCTGGAGTCCTGGGATCGAGTCCCACATCGGGCTTCCTGCTCGGCAGGGAGTCTGCTTCTCCCTCTGACCCTCCTCCCTCTCCTGCTGTCTCTCATTCCCTCTCTCAAATAAATAAATAAAATCTTTAAAAATAATAATAATAAATTAATTAATAAAATCTTAAAAAAAAAAAAAAAAAGCTCAATTCAGACAGCTCTCCCGGGCTACGAGTCCCGCGTGGTTCCTAGAAAGAGGTGTGTACCAAGAAACAGTCCCTTTGCCCACTTAATAAGGTGTCTGGACACAGTGTTTGAGTTTCTTTGTGCTACCATAATAACAAAGTACCACAGACTGGTTGATGTAAACCACAGAAATTAATTTTCTCACAGTTCTGGAGGCTAAAATCCAAGATCAAGGTGTCAGCGGGGTTGGTCTCTTCTGAGGTCTCTCTCCTTGCCTTATAGATGGCCACCTCCTCCCTGTGTTTTCACATGGCCTTCCTTCTGTGTCTGTGTTCTGATCTCCTCTTCTTATAGAGACACCAGTCATACTGGATTAGGACCCACCCTAGAGACCTCCTCTTAATTACCACTTTAATTGGTCATTGATTGTCTCCAAATACAATCACATTATAAGGTCCCGGGGGTGAGGAGTTCAACAGATGAATTTGGGAAAGAAAGACCCAGTTCAGCCCAGAACACATGGCCAGAGGATGGGACAAGAAGCATCTGGCTCCTTAAAAGAAAGGAGCTCCCAGGCATCACCACTGGATGGGGATGCACAGTATGCTTAGTTTCTGCCAGATGGGCACCAAGGGACACAGGATGATTCTAGGGTGCCTGGACCCCAACATCTGCATCCTGGAGAGGTTCTACAGCTTCCTCCCCCAAGTCTGTAAAAATCTATCTCAGCTGCAGCCCTGTCGTATTTTCAACGTGCATAAAATATTCATATCATGATTGCCTAAAAGCAGCCCTTCTGGAGCGCCTGGGTGGCTCAGTCCTTGGGCTTCTACCTTCGGCTCAGGTCATGATCCCAAGCTCCTGGGATCGAGCCCAGCATCAGGCTCCCTGCTCCCGCGGGGAGCCTGCTTCTCCCTCTCCCAATCCCCCTGCTTGTGTTCCCTCTCTCGCTGTGTCTCTCTGTCAAATAAATAAATAAAATCTTTAAAAGTAAAATCAAATAATAAAAAATAAAAGCAGCCCTTTTTAGCAATAAGAAGTTCCCTAAGTGTCCCTGTCCTGAATGGTGGGGCCCGCTGTTGAAGAGCCCCCCAGAAGAGGTTTCCCTGCATTTAAATTCATGGTTTTTAGATCTCCAGCCAGGAGGGAAAGGAGCTGGTTTCTGCAGGCTCACACTGCTCTCGGGGCTTTATCCAATTACAGCGGATGGGGCTGCTTTACCTTTCCATCCCTTTTTCAGGGTGCTAAAGCTGAGCTGGTCCGAGGACATTAAAACCATCTGGTGTCCACCTGGCCTCTCCCATTCATTCCTTCATCTCATTCCCACGCTCTCTCCTTTCATGAAATTTTTTCCCTGCCGGCCCCTCCTCTACTGCCAATCCTATAGGGCAACTCCCGGGCATACTCGGACCTTCTCTGGTTCCACATGGGGGAGCCTAACCTAGCAGATCGTCCGCAGCAGCTTGGAAAACAGGAAATCTGAATTTCAGTCCCCTCCTGGCCTGAGAAAAGCCTTTGTCCCCACAACACCTGAGTTTCCCCACCCATAAAATGAGCATGTCAGCCTGGTCAGGGCTAGCAAAGGGATTCCTGATTTGGCTCTCTGGGCCACTGTGTGGTCTCTGATTGCATGTCTGAGTTCCTTGGGAGAGTGGAGACCCACCTCTAGCCTTCTGGGGACCACAGAACTCGCAGAGCCTTCCAGAGGACAGTGGCAGCCCTGAGCTCTCTGCCCCTTCTTCCAGGGGATGTAATGCGTCTCATCGTGACACAAATACCCCGGTTCAACACTTCAGCTTCAGAAGATTGGGGCGAGGGGCGCCTGGGTGGCTCAGTCGTTAAGCGTCTGCCTTCGGCTCAGGTCATGATCTCAGGGTCCTGGGATCGAGCCCCGCATCGGGCTCCCTGCTCCGCAGGAAGCCTGCTTCTCCCTCTCACACTCCCCCTGCTTGTGTTCCCTCTCTCACTGCCTCTCTCTGTCAAATAAATAAATAAAATCTTTAAAAAAAAAAAAAAAAAGAAGAAGATTGGGGCGAACGGGCGTGTCTTTGAAACTCGAAATCCCTGTTGCACCAAGCGTTCTACAGCCATCACCACCCTGCCCCCTGCTGCAGCCCAGGAGGCCCCCAACATTCTCAGTCTTTCTGAGACAGTTCCCTCTGCTTCCTTGACTTAACAGACGTTTGGCTTCCCCCAAAGTTTCCTGCCACCTCTTGGCTGGCGCTCTTCCTTCTCTCACCCCCTACAAATGACAGAGGCGAGGCAGGGTGGGCGTCCTCCTCACTCCCGATTGCAACGTGCAGGCCGTCCCCCCCCCCCCCCACTTCCAGTGCCCCCCCATCCAGTCGGCTCCCCTAATGCTCATATGTCCGGCCTCTCCCAGCCTTCCTGTCAGGCCCCTTACTTGGGGGAGACTGCAGCTCCTGGACCACAGTGTCTCTCTCCACCCCAGCCCTGTTGCCATTCTCAGGACCTGTACCTCTCTCTACATGCTTCTCGGGGTACCCCATTGCCGAGGACCTTTACCTCAGCCACCCACCCTGTGGTCACATGTGGATTTTTTTTTTTTTTTTTACTGTGGTGAAATATACATCCCATAAAACTGTTTTAAGTATACAGTTAACTGTTTTTTTATTTCTTTTTTTTTTTGAAAGATTTTATTTATTTATTTGAGAGAGAGAATGAGAGAGAACATGAGAGGGGGAAGGGTCAGAGGGAGAAGCAGACTCCCTGTTGAGCAGGGAGCCCAATGCGGGACTCCATCCAGGGACTCCAGGATCATGACCTGAGCCGAAGGCAGTCGCTTAACCAACTGAGCCACCCAGGCACTGGCCATCCCCACCATCCATCTTCAGAGCTCCTTTCCTCTTCCCCCACTAACACTCTGTCCCCATTCAAACCTAACTCCCCATCCCTCCGCCCACCCCACCCCCAGCACCTGGCAGCCACCCCTCTACCTTCTGTCTCTATGAATCTGACGACTCCAGGTACCTCATCTAAGTGGAACCAAACGGTATTCATCCTTCTGTGTCTGGCTTGCGTCACTCAACCTACTTAAGGTCCCCACGGTTCATCCATGTTGTAGCAGGTGTCAGAATTCCCTTCCCTCTTCACACCTGGATTTTGCATTCGCCAGAAATCTCTATCTCCAAAATCATGGATTGGTAGTTTTATTCTCTGACTCTACCTGCAGTTCCCTTGCTTAAATGCAAGGACGGGAGGAAAGTGCCTCAGGTCCAGCATGCCACTCCACATGGCTCCCCACCAGTTCTTTTTGTCATCTTTCCCCTCCTGCCTTCATGTTCCTCTTAGCTTCTTTTAAACTCCACGGCCCAGCATAAGCGTGGTCCCCTTTCCGCCCTCCATCTCACCTTCCCGGCAACCCCAGAATGCTCCCACCTTCCCTGAGCCTGCACCTAAATGCAAGGATCCCTGGAGCAAAATCCCCAATCACAAAGAGAGGTGCCACTCTAAGTTCAAGATAGCTATGCTCCAGTGGTCCCAATATCGCACAGCCCTGGTGCTGTGTTTTTCTAGGGACGCCCTCTCTTCCCTCCCCGGGGACCAGGCTCCTCCCTTCTCAAACCCTCTTCCTTCTTCCTACCTCCCCTTTGTGCAGAGGATCTGGGCTCGTGCTTTCCTGTAAAAAAGAAGCCACTACTCAGGAACTCGCTGATGTCCCCATGACCAGTTTGACAAAGGTGTCAGCATCTGTCGCCTCTCCTCCTCCTCCTCCCTCCCTCTGCAGTGGAAGCAGGGTCCCTAGTCCTTCCCCAAGTGTGTGGGACTCCCCCCCTCTTCTACTTGCCTTAGCGGGAACTCTGCCCCTTCAGTTATGCTCCTTCCTGCACCCTTATTCTGTCCCTCTCCACTAGATCGCTCCCAGCAATCTGCAAACATACTCTAGTATCTTCCATTAAAAAAATTAGGGAGGGTCTTGCTTAATCCTTCCAGCAGCAAGAAGTGACACCAAAGTTCTGGCTACCATTCCCCTCCCGCTCCTGACTCTGGTCAGTTCA